ATACTTTTAAACCTTTATTGCCTGAAATCTTTATTCCTCATTAGTGTGATAGAACTGTTTTACAGTTTTTAGGAGGATGCTGTTTTTCACATAGCATTTGCATCCTTTTTTGGTTTTATGGTAATGATCAGGATCTTGGTGCAATTTTGCCCAGATGTATGTGGTTAGGTCTAAAGGTAAAAGGCTATTATAAGAACCTTCCTTTTCCATCTTTTATTTTCAAGAAGCCTGACTCCTAGAATCTGTTGTGCAGAAGGAAAGAAGAGGCAACAGAATTCACTCAGTGGAAATTTCCATTTTGTAGTTTGTTATTCACTTCCTTTGCTTCTTCATACCTATGAAGTCTCCTGAGGCATCCAGGAATCTGTTTTTATGGACAAAATTTGGAAATCACTGCTCTTGACCAATCATTCCTCAGATCTTCAGAGTTGGAGAACAAAGAAGAATAGTGGAGTGAAAATTGAAACTCTTTAAATACAGATGACCATGTTTCTCTTTTTCTTGTATAGGAGATAAAGGAACTTGTAGTTAGCAGTTAAGGTTAACTTTTTCGCCTGAAAATATGGAAGAATGCTGATAATGGTGAGTCATTAAGTAGTGGCAGAGAGTAAAGAATCATTAATTCAAAATTTTGGCATGCTAAATCTGAGGTTAGTGTATAACATCCTTTAAAGAGTGGTTTTTAAAGGTCAGGGCTGGAGACAAGACATTCTTTGCAATGGTTGAGGTGATCTCAGATTATAGAGCAGAGAGTTGAGAAGACAGCCTTGGTGACATCCTGCTGCAAAGTCTGGTTTAACATTCTTTTTTTTTCCTTTTTGTCCATTGTGGGGTTTAAACTCTGGGCCTGGGCGCTGTCCCTCAGCTCCTCAGCTCAAGGCTAGTGCTTTACCACTTGAGCCACAGCGTCACTTCCCCTGCTGCAAAGTCTGAAAATGGGTGTCACACCTGTCCTATCCAGCTTAACAGGAATGTTTTACTTAGCTCATTATTTGAGTTATTGGAAAACAAATAGCCAATTTGATTTTTAAAATTGAGAGTTTACATAAAATCTCTCCTGCAATATAGGGCGACATTATAATGTAGGGCTCACATGCTTTCAAGAAGGCCACTGTCATCTTCAAATAGGACTGTGTAGGGTTATTCTCAGATATAGTCCTTTCTAGTTAACTTTGCCCACTTAATGGCATAAAAAGTAACAAGATTCTCTTCTTGGCCAAATTCTAGGCAGGTCTCTTTCAACAAGGCCCACCCTCACTTTACTATAGACTTGAACAAAAAACTAACATGAAGGTCTGGGGGTATGGTAAAGTTGCTTGCCTATCAAGTGCAAGACCCTGAGTTCAAACTACAGTGCTGCCAACACAAAAATAAAAAACTAACATGGCTGCTAATCATTCACTGACACATCCCTAGTGGAACTGTAAGGCTTTTTAAAGTGCTTCCTTCAGAAAACTCCAGGTTTTACATTGGCTAACCCCCCACTTCCTGCTTTTTGTAATTATTTACTTCACCAAAGGCTCATCTCTTTCTGTATTCCCTCATCCTTCTTTTTGGGGGGGAGGGTCCGGTTGTGGGGTCTGAACTCTGGGCCTGGGTGCTGTCCCTTAGCTCTTCAGCTCAAGGCTAGCGCTCTACCACTTGAGCCACAGCGCCACTTCCGGCTTTTTTCTTATGTAGTGCTGAGGAATCAAACCCAGGGCCTCATGCATGCAAGGCAAGTGCTCTACCACTGAGCCACCTTCCCAGCCCCTCCCTCATCCTTCTTTAAGCACCCAACAGGCTTTGAAAAAAATCAGAGTTCAGTTCACTCTGGACTCATTCCTCTACTTCAGTAGCACATTGCCAATTAAAATCTGTACTTACCACTTCAGGATCTGTTTTTATTTATTTCTGACAGAAAACTAATAGTCAACAGAAATCAATGAAGATTTTTGGTTTGTTAATGTTTTAAAGACAGGAGGACTAAGCATATTTGCTTCCTTTTTTTTTCTTCTTCAGAAAATCTGAAAAAAAGGAAAAGAATAAGATGAACAATAGTAGAATTAAGGTATTGGAGTTAGAAAGAATTCAGAAGGGGCTGGGAAGGTAGCTCAGCGGTAGAGTGCATGCCTTGCAAGCATGAGGCCCTGGGTTCGATTCCTCAGCACCACATAAACAGAAAAAGCCGGAAGTGGCGCTGTGGCTCAAGTGGTAGAGCGCTAGCCTTGAGCTGAAGAGCTGAGGGACAGTGCCCAGACCCAGAGTTCAGGCCCCACGACCGGCAAAAAAAAAAAAATAATAATAAAAAAAAAAAAAGAAAGAATTCAGAATATTGGGCTGGGAAGGTGGCTCAGTGGTAGAGCGCTTGCCTTGCTTGCATGAGGCCCTGGGTTTGATTCCCCAGCACCACATAAGCAAAAAGCTGGAAGTGGCGCTGTGGCTCAAGTGGTAGAGCACTAGCCTTGAGCTGAATAGCTGAGGGACAGAGCCCAGGCCCAGAGTTCAGGCCCCACGACCAGACCCCCCCCCAAAAAAATTACTTTTAGGGAAGGATGCTGTTTCTCTTTACCATGACAGGATATAAATATGAAGATATCAAATGAAGAATAATAGCACTGCATGGATGAGAAAGTAAAAATTTACCCTTTACTTAACAGACTGGACTAACAGACAAAACCAGAAGTATAAAACAGGAAAAAGTGTTTCTCTCAAGGTATGCTACGTCCAGAGTGTCACACCAACCTCCTTTGAGTGACTCCTGACTTCTTACTCATGGAAAACCTTCAGTGTCAAAAATCATAGACTGTCAGAAAACTGATAATCTACCACTCTACCCTGGAGTAGCTAAAGAAATAGAGAAGCAGCTTTGGGTCTCAAGCCAGGTGAAGATTTACACAAGAAGATATATGGGTAGACAACATTTCACATCTCTGTTGATCTTGTAGTGGTCAATCAAATAGGATCCATGGCCTGTTTCCACTGTAGTCCAGCTTAATGTTGATATTTACACTCATAATTCAGGTTTGAAGTTTCTAGAAACACAGATTTACTTGAATTTTAACCAAATTCCACACTTTCCCCAGAGTCTCATGTTAACTCCATCATTTTTTAGGTGAGATTCTCCATCCAGACCCTAATATGAGCTTTCCTTCAATGCTATGGATCAAACAACTAAATCTATTCAACTGAAAATTCATTTTTGGAGATATTAGGATGTTAACACTTGAGTGAACACAGGAGTCATTGTAGGTTTCCATAATCTAATATTTTATTTAATAGACAAAAACTGGGGACCAGAGGAAAGGTTTCTAATTGTCATTGTACATTTCCTTTGCAGCATTTCACTCATTTAATATAAAGAATTGTTAGGTTTTTAAAAAGAGATAGCAGAGTAAGAACAGCACCACGCACGTGGTATTCAGGAAAGGGATAGGTTTATTCAATCGTTCCGCCTGGCAGCAGGCCATCTTGGGTCTCCACGAGGTGGGGAAAGGCCTGGGAAAGAGAGCTGGGAGAGCTGGGAAAGAGAGAGAGCTGGGAAAGAGAGAGCTAGGAAAGACAAGAGAGCTGGGAAAGAGAAGAGAAGGAAGGAGCTGAGAAAGAGCTAGAAAAGAGCAGAGAGCCTCTGGGCCTGGGCTAGGCCTTATCAAGGGTATGGGCAGAGAAAGGTGTGGCCACATCAAATTCATATGTGATCTCAGCAGATGCAGATGTGATCTCTTCCAGGTGTGCCAGTTGCCTAGGTAACACAGGTAACTGGGCGGAGACTTTACTGCGGGGAGGGTGGAGTCTGCTTGCCATCCAGGAGTGGACCTTACAAGAATATTTATGGTATCTATCTTCCAAAAGTAGAATATGAACTCTACTAAAGAATGGTTTTTTGTTGTTTGTTTTTGCAGTCCTGGGAAGGGACCTCCTCTGTGCTACACAAGAGCTCTGTCTCTTAGCTTCACCCAAGGCTTCTGGAGTGGTTTCCTTCTCTTTTTTTGTCGGTCATGGGGCTTGAACTCAGGGCCTGGAACACGGTGCATTTTTAGCTCAAAGTTGGAGCTCTACCTCTTTGAGCCACAGGGCCCCTTATGGTTTTCTGGTGGTTAATTGGAGATATCTCATGACCTTTCCTGCCTGAGCTGGCTTCGAACTGCGATCCTCAGATCTCAGCCACCTGAGTAGCTGGGATTACAGGCGTGAGCCACCAAGGACTGGCTTGGAGTGGTTTTCTTAAAACACCCTATCCACAAGCTTTTCTCCACCTTTTAAAAAGGAGTCTTTATGCTATGTATGGGTCAGTCATTTCCCCAGAATTGCAATTGGTGAGTTGTGTAAGTTCATCATCTGGAGAGTGGAATTTCCAATTCACTGAATACGTGTAGGGCACCCAGGGTGCAGTCTGGGCGGCTGCTGCCCACTTGTGCGGTGCCGGGCCCTGGGTGACCAGAGGCTGCAGTTAGGGTGTGCGCGAGTGCGTGTGTAAAGGGTTCGTCTTCCATCCAAGTCTACTCTTGCACATGCAATCTTCTCCATCTCCATTTCTTAGACATTATTTTTTCCCTATTCCCTTTTCTCCAGCCCGCCCCCCAGACCCGGGTAACGGCTGCGACGACAGCTCTGCCCCACCCTTTCTTTCAAATCTTCCTTCTTCTGCCTCGGACTCCAAAAAAGGTGCTCCAGGAATCAGGCCAGAATGCAACCCAACACTTCCTTATACGGATCTGCTATTGTATTTACACAAACTAGGACGTGAAGCACGCTCTCACACCAAGGAAAGAAAGCGGTGTCTTCCGTAGCTTTAGAGTTATCCGCAGCAGCGGAGCCGCAAAGTCCCGTCACAGAAAAGCAAGAGAACTTTCTTTTCAGAGGAAACTCCAATCTGGGACCCCAACCCCGAGCGGTGGCTGAGCCCGCGGCGCGGCCCCAAGGCCCGGCGCGGACGCGGATTGGTCACTGGGCAGTCCGGAGCCCGCCCACAGCCGCGCGCGCCTGCGCAGCTTCGCTCCGCACCGCCCAGCCAGTCGCCCAGTCGCCCGTCTGCGGCCTCCGGAGGTTCAGCGTGCCTGCCGGCAGGAAAGCCGGCGAGCTGAGGCCGACGGGCGCGCCCGGCCTACTCCTCGCCAGAAGAAAGGAGGGGGCCCAGCCGGGCCGCCGCGGCCTCCTCGGCCCTTGCAGCCTGCTGTGGACGGGCGGCGGGGCAGCTGAGGGATCCTGACACTCGGGTGCCGCCGCCATGGCTGCCATGATGGATCGGAAGTGAGCCTCGGGGCGACGGCTGCCGGCGCGGGCGCTTCGAGTCCCCGCTCCCCGGCCGCCCCTGCCGGGGGAAGCGCGGCGCGGCGGGCGGGCGGCCGACTCCTCTCGGCGCTCGCGACCCTTTCAGACCCTCCGCTCCGACTGCTTCGGCCAGCACTGAGCAGCGGGGAGCGGCTCCCGGCCTCCGGCCCCGGCGGCGAGAAAGATGGCGGACCCGGCCGAGTGCAACATCAAAGTGATGTGTCGCTTCAGACCCCTCAACGAGTCCGAAGTGAACCGCGGCGACAAGTACGTCGCCAAGTTCCAGGGCGAGGACACCGTCGTGATCGCGGTGAGCGCCTCCCCCAGCCGCGTCCGGCGCCCGCGGGCCTGGGTGGGCGGGGAGTTCTCGGACGTGGCGGGCGGGCGGGCCTGCTGCAGACCGGGGGTGCGGGACGGGGAGTGGGGGCAGCCCGGGGTCCTCAGGTCTCCCCGGCGGAGTTCTGTGGCATCAGGTGATCTGGGGAACGGAGGGGACCGGCCAGGTAGTGCACGGGGCGTTCCACGATCGCCCCAGCCCTGGTCCTCGGCACCGGGAGACGGGAGGCGCCCGGTCTCGGCTTGGGGACACTCCCCCACCCGGGGCGCTGGAGGGACCGGCCCGGGAGCAATTTGGGGGCATCTTTGCGGGTGCTTATTATTATGCGTGTGTTCAGTTACTGGTGCTGTTGATGTTTGTGCACTGCCCTCAAATTTACCATTCATAAAAAAAGATTAATTCAGAATTCAATTAGAATGTGGAGCCCTGCCGTACCTGATCAAATCCTACTTAGGTTTTTAATAGAAAAGGCCTAACTAGGTGTTGAAGTCCCTTGAGAGAAAGAAAAACGAACACAATTACCCTGCAAACCTCAGATGTTCTTCCACCCGATCTTGGAGTGATGAGTAACTTTTCACATTAACAACACCAATGACAAGTCGAGGACTGAAAAAAGAAATGTTTTCTTCGAAATTGGAATAATCGGTTTTGTTTAGGCATACATTCAATCACAGCAGATTCAGGTTGGGTTAAAAAGAAGTGTTAGATGTAGAAACTTGGTCTTTACTGGGCCTTACGGAGTAAACAGTATGAAAAAAGTGCTAACTTGTGTACTAATGGATATTAAACAAATTTATAAAATTTTAATGTTGGCCACTATTTTTATTTGTACAAGTTTGCCTCGAAGAAAATTGATCTAGGTAATCCCAGGGATAGTGAGATATTTATTATTTATTGTTCCTTTGCCGTGTAAAACAACTAGAGTTGGGAGACCAGAAAGTGAGGATTGGGGGCGGGGATGATGGAGGTCTGATCTCTAATATTGAAGATTTCTGAAAATCCATTCTCAGTTCAAGGACATTAAAAATGAACATTAAGATACTGCATACAGAATTGTAACAAAATTAAATTAACTTTTACGGCTCACGCTGTGTGCTGATATTTTCTACATTGTTATGAAGGCATAAAAGTTGAATATGTTAATTTTGCTCCAGTGGAATTATATGTTTAATGTAGTGTTTGGGCTATTTAATTTAGCAGTAGGGCAAAAAGGTCACAAAGAGATGGATGGACCTTTGATGATTGAAATTATTGATATTGGCGACAGCTCTGAAGTTATTAGGAGTTTTAATGTGAGATTGCAAAGGTCAATTATAGATAATTAATGTGTTCGCTTTACATCCTCTTGGTAGACTTTAGGGAGAAAAAAATCATAAGGTCACTAACTGCCAATTACTAGTGTGTGAAGACTGTCAGTGCAGTTCTTTGTTAACAAAATCCTTGAGAACAAACTCTTGATATAAATGATATCATACTAAGGCGAAGAAGTTAAGCACAGAGATCCTTCTCCTTTAAGAGGTTATGTTGTACATGTAATCCATAGAACCTTGCAACTCTGGATTAGTTGCCAAACTTGAGGCTACTAGTTTCTTAAGAGTTTTTGTGATTAGTCCGCTTCAGTAATGATTTGTACAACAAAGCTGATTTTTTTCTTTCATTTGTATTGTCTTATTTCTCCAGATTTTTCTGTGTTTAAACAAATAGGTAAGTATCACTAAGGTTGTTTTTGTTGGAATGCTGAAATTTAGGATTCACAACTATACTAATATTATTAGTTAACTTCTAATGTGGCCCAAATATAATATATTCTATAAAGTTAAAACAATTTCCATGGGGAAATAATTCTAGTTTGTTTTCTTTTGAAAAAAATTTTAACCTCAAAATTTTCTGTTCCAAAATTTTAGTAACGTAAATAATTTTAAATGATAGCTTAAATAACAGATAGGTGATTGGTAGGCAAATCAGTAATGAACAGTTAATTGACCTTTAGGTAAATTGAAACAATTTAGTGTTTAAAAATGTAAAGCAGTTTAGTGTTTAAAAGTATAAATAAAATAAATTGTAATTGGATGACATAATGTTTGAAAATGTAAGGAAATGTATTTTTTTGCAAACAGTAACTATGTTTAGGTTATATATATATGTATAAATAATTTAAATGTTGTTTGGGAATCCATAAGGGGAGCTTATAAGTTCAGTTTTAGCGCTTTTTACATGTTACTCATGTAAACAATTATTTTAATATTAACTCTTGGGAGAAAAGTCTTTTGATTACACTGAGTCTCTGTGTTTTGTGCAAAATTTGAGGGCTTGGTAAGGTGCTATAAATATCCCACTGGATGAAATAAATGTGTTTAAAATCTTTTAAACTATAAAAATAGAGCCTGTTTGTTTTAGAAAACCTTTTATCCATAAAACAGGAAGGATGAGAAACAGCTTACTTTATTCAAATGAGTTTGCTGAAAACACTCCAAAAGTTATAGAAAAGATTATTTGTGTATTCACATAATAAAGAATAATCAGACACTGAGCCAGGTGCTGGTGGCTCACACCTATAATCCTAGCTACTCAGGAGGCTGAGATCTGAGGATCGTTGGTTCAAAGCCAGCCCGGTCAGGAAAGTCCATGAGACTTATCTCCAGTTGGCCACCAGAAAATGAGAAGTGGTGCTGTGGCTCAAGAGGTAGAGCGCTAGCCTTGAGCTGAATAGCTGAGGGACAGTGTCCAGGCACAGAGTTCAAGCCCCACAACTGACCCCCCCCCCAAAAAAAAAGACTAATGAGACACTTGAAATTTGAAATTTATGCCAAAATGAGGCTCTTAGAATATCTATCAGGACTGCTTTTAGCTGTAGAAGAAAACAATAATGGCTTAAAAAGTAAGAGGTCATTTTCCCTCCTGTAACAAAAAGCATAGAATAGTACATACTAGGACCCTGACTTTGATTTGCTAACTTTTAATCACATTGCTCATGTTTTCAAGAGAGATGACATTCATCCCAATAAGGAGAACAAGCAGCTGGGGTGGTCTCTGTATTAGGAAAGTAATATTGTTTTCAGAGGCCTCCCAGCAGATTATCACTTCCTAATTTCTGAACTGGGCATATGATTATTAGGTGCCGATTGAGCTAGCAGACAGTAACAAGGGAAAGGAGGATAGAAATGGCTTTGGGTATTCCTGTAGAGAATATCTGCTTCATTGTAAACATTCCACACTTAGGAAGATTTTGAGTGCAGTTTTTTTTTAAGTAGCTCTTTTTTCAGCTATGACCAAGGACTGTTTCCTGGGCCCTAGCTTTCTTCTTTCACTTTGGAAAAATATCTAGAGAGTAGACAGATACATGGAAATACGCAGAACTCCTCTCCTTGCCTCTTTTTCTCTTCTTTAGATGATCATTTTCCTTCCTAGATTAATATTAGATTGTTTCTGCCAGGGTTTTAGATTCTCAGGTTTGCTTACTTTAAAAAAAAATCTCTTAGGTTCACAGCCAAATTTTGTGCTTGATCATGTCTCATTCTTTATTCAACCTGTTGTAACTCAACCTTTGTCACTGGATTAGTTGTAGTTTTTCTTGACTTCACAGCTGTATTCTTTCCTTGGTTTACTGGGATACTGTTTTTGATGTCTTCCCCTTCCCCCTCTTAGACCCTATTGGTGGTTTTCCAAGATTGTTTTTTGGAGTCTCAGATGTGCTTTTTGGGTGATCCAGGTCAAATTACTTTTCACTGTGTTCACATTTGCATTTGATCCTTGCTCCCTGTACTTTAAACTTAACAACTTCCTTTGGTTTCTTGAATGCTAGAAGCTCCTTTCTGCATTAGGCTCTCTCTCTCTCTCTCTCTCTCTAACTCTCTCTCTCTCTCTCTCTCTCTCTCTGCCAGTCTTGTGCCTTGAACTTGGCCTGGGCACTGTCCTTGAGTTTCTTTTGCTTAACTAGCACTCTAGCACTTGAGCCACAGCACCACTTCTGGCATTTTCTGTTGGTGTGGTACTGAGGAATCGAACACAAGGCTTCCTGCATGGTAGGCAAGCACTCTACCACTAAGCCACATTCCCAGCCCAGCCTTAGACTCTTTAAGCATTCTATGCCTAATGTCTAGACTGCTTTCTCATTCCAACTCTGTACCCTATTATGACTAGTACTAAAGAAGATGAGAGTGAGCCAGGCTTTATTTACCCTTCAGTTCTTCAACATCTCTTTTCCTAGAGTGTTTCCTTGACATTCTTCTGCTCTCCTCTAAACTCAGGTTCTCCTCTGTATGTTACTGGGAGCAGTTTCTTGAGTCAGTTGTAGTTACTCAATTATGCCTATGTCTGTCTTGATCATTCTAGCATGATGTCTTGAATCCCATAACTCTTTGCTAAATGAAAAAAATGGTTATAAATTTGTCACAGTGTCAGGTGTGATAGTATACACCTGTAATCCCTTCTAGTGGGAACGTGGAGATCAAGAGGATCTTGATTCCAGGCCAGCCCAGGCAAAATGTTAGTAAGGTCCTCTTTTCAACCAACAAGCTGGTATGGTGGAGTATCCCAGTAATTGCAGCTAAACATGAGGCATAGAAAGGAGAATCAATATCAGAAGCCAGCTCTGCACAAAAAGCATGAGATACTATATGAATGGAGATTTGGCTCAAGTGGTAGAACATTTGCCTCACAGATGTGAGGCCCTAGTTCAAACTTTAGTATTGCTAAAAAGTTATTTCAGTAAACTGAAAAGCTGAATGTGAGGTAGTAGATAGAAGCCTACATTTTAATTTTGTCATTAATAACTAACAGAAAAGAAGAAGTAGCACTGTGGCTCAAAACAGTAGAATTCTAGCCTTGAGCCAAAGAGCTCAAGGACAGCATCCAGGACCCAAGTTCAAGCTCCACAACAACAACAAAAAAATTGACTCAGCAGTATTGGATGGCTATCATAAATAGTGGTAATTACAACTACTGTACTAGGCCCTAGGGATATGACAACACTAAAAGAGACATTCTTGTCACAGATTTATAGGTGATAATGGTTACAGTCCGTTATAATTAAGATAAAATGAGATGATTCATAGTAAGAATACTATTTTGAAGGGCAGACATACTAGGGTATCTTTAAAAAAGTTTAGAAATATCCATTCACCTTTCATTTGTGTAACTGAAATGCTTTTGTTTTTGTTTTTCAGTCCAAGCCATATGCATTTGATCGAGTGTTCCAGTCAAGCACATCTCAAGAGCAAGTATACAATGACTGCGCAAAAAAGATTGTTAAGGGTAAATATGTTTAACTTAGTGAATTTCATTAACTTAGTGTACCTGTAGTAAAATAAAATTGAATTTGTGATCTTTCCTACTTACCTCCACATTTTTTTTCTTTTTAATGTTTCTTCTCTTAATTGCAGAAGAAAGTTCAGATACCAATGTCAATATAGTTAGTAAATCACTATGATCTAATTATACACAGTACCTAATGAAGGGTGTTAATAGTAACTATTTTACATGCTCGTTCCTTTTTTTGTCCTTGTCCCGAGACTTTTACTCAGGGCCTCAGCACTCCCCCTGACCTTGTTTTGCTACAGGATAGTCTAGTGGCTTACCACTTGAACCACAGTCTCCCCCCCTTTTTTTTTGAGTAGTTTATTAGAGATAAGAGTTTCATGTCCAGGCTGGCTTTGAATCATGATCCTCAGATTTCAACCTTCTGCGTAGCTAGGATTAATATACAGTTGTAAGCCACCAGTGTCTGGCTTTCATGCTTGTTCTTGAGAGATGCATTTCTATTAGCCATTCCCAGGAGAATTTCCAAGATAGTGATTATAGAAATGGGACCATATGAGAAGGATAATAAAATGACTGGACAAGTGTCAAAATAGTAGAAAATATCAATATTTAATTTGTTCATTGTTATTCCTTTCAGAAAAGCTTAACTTGTAGTCTACAGAAAAACCTTTGAGTAGTTTAATAGGGATTGCCAAATATGAGAAAGGTAACTTACACTAGGATGTATTTTTTCAGCTTTCTAAAATCAGAACTGTAGGTAAAAAGTAAGATGGTCCACTACTAAATATCCCCATGCTGCTGATCACATATATGGTATATAACATGTGAACACTGTTATATATTACAGACTGTGATAGACAATTTGCTCCAGGAAAGTTAGAATGAACTTGTGACTTTAAATGAGCATCATTATTCCACAATACTGTGAATTTCGGGAAATTATGTAATCACTTAATCACAATCAAAAAAAAAAAAAAAAGAACCTGGGGAAGGGAGCGAGGGAGGGGATGGTAGGGGGAAAACAATGGAGGGGGTAACAATGTTCAAGAGGAAGTGTACTCATTACCTCACTCATGTAACTGTAACCCTCTGTATAGTATCTTCATAATAAAAAACAAAAACAAAAAAAAAGATGGGATTGTCTGGAGTTAATTCCCAGTTATTATAAAAATTCCTTCTTATCATAGGAACTTTAAAGTAAAATAGCAATTTTGATATTATTTATTCCATTTTTTGACAGCTTTTGACAGTTTTTGATTAATAAAACATGCTTCTTAGATTGAAGCAAAAATCTGTCTTGTAATATTTATCTGGCTAGAGGAGGTTGAGATTCAGTAGCTTTTAAACAGGAACACAGTTTATCTTACAGGAGAGAAAGTAGATTTTATGAATAAAAGCAGGCTTATAGATATAGAGGGGAGATGTTGACTCCATATTCTATACTATAACAAAGTCAAGTGAGGATCTGGGAGGAGGTTCTAAGAAAAGGCATGAAATGGATGGATGGGGGCAATGTGGCTGTATTCTCGGGTAGCATTGTAGGCCTTTGTAAGGTTAGCTGCCAGGAAGAGTTGAATTTATCCATTTGGAGTTTAGCCAGGCAAGTACAAAAGAGAAGAAAGGCAAGAGAATTGAGGATATTGTCAAGGAAGTTACAGCTTGTTGGGACCCTGGGAACAGTGTGACTAGATAGTAAGATTACTTTGTTATGGATCTGGGTGAAGACAAAAGTTTGTTGGAAACAGGTTACCAGGAGAAGTAACAGAAGTTGGGTATTTAAAATTGGTATTATGGAGACAGTATAGTTAAGAGTGAAAAAGTCGGGGTCTCACCATGGAGATAGCAATTAGATCAAGGATCTGGGAAGCCATAGTGTTTTAATAAGGTCACCTTCATTTACATTGAAATCACTGATAGTTGCAACAGGAATGGTATTAAAGAGAGACAGTAAATGGAGTGCTGAAATCTTCATAAAATGAGGGAAAACTGATAGGTAATTCTGTAACTTAACTGCAGCAAAGGGGAGGGAGCAGTGTTATTCTATGCTAAGTGTCAGAGTTTTCCAAAATGATATTAGAACATGAGTATATTGTATTCTTTGTGATATATTATTCATTGGTACAATTTAAGATAACAGCTTTTTGTTTGTTTTTGGTAGGGAATCAAACCTTTGTTCCTGTTAGCTAAATGATTTATGGCTGAACTATCTCTGTAATCCATGATTACATTAGCTTTTTAATTGTGATTGATTAATGAAAAAATGAGTAACTTAATCATACAAATATTTTTCATATATTCTACAGCCAGGTTGAAGCTCTATTCCATACTTGCACATTGGAGTGTAAATATTTGAAATACAGAAGCCATTTTGTTAATTTTGGCTCTTGATCACATTTTAAGTTTTATTTTTATATTGTCTTGATCTGCTAAGTTGGCTTCCAGCATATCTGATAAATCTACAGTGGTATCAAGGACACTGAAGTTTTAAAAGTATTTGAAAATGCTTAATATGTCTCAGTCTTTAGCCTAATCTTTTAAAAACTGGATACGGTTGATACCTGTTAATTAAATAATGATACCACATTGTTTGGATATTCAGCCAACCTCAGAACTTCTCACCTGTAGAATTGTCTAGTTTTTAGTTTGTCAAAATACTTAGAATATGATGAAAAACTTGGATCTTCTTATGAAATCATGTTATATTCCACCTAAGTACCAAATTGTATGACCCTAGCTCAACAGAAAATGAAGTTAAATTTAACCACATTTTCCTTAGTGCAATTTTGGGATATATGCCTGTGGTTTTCCCTTATCAAAAATAAATTTGCAAGTTATTTATCTTTGGTTTCCTTTGTTCTTTCTGGCTTTTAGAACTTACCTTCAGTACCTGGATGATTTTTATCTGTGTGACATAACTAGAAAATTGGGCTCATTTTAAATCATTTTTCTTTTATAACCCTACCCACATCATAAAATCTGTTAACAGTGTTTCCTTACATAATGCAGTATGACAACTATGTAACATTTATATTGGGTTAAATATTGAGTAATCTAGAAATGTTTTCAAGTGGGAGGATAGTCACAGGTTATACATACCATTCCATTTTAGTGGGTCCTGGAACCAAGACAGTATCCTGTCTTGGATACTGAAGAATGACTGCTTCTCTCATTGATAAGGATTGTATTCCTGCAGTGATACCTGCTCCCCTCTCCCCCCCCCCCCCACCACCTTTTTTTGCCAGTCTTGGGGCTTGAGCTCAGGGCCCGGGTGCTGTCCCTGAGTTTCTTTGGTTAGGCTAGCACTCTACCATTTGAGCCATAGTGCTGCCTCTAGCCTTTTCTGTTCATATGGTGCTAAAGAAATGAACCCAGGGCTTCATGCGTGCTAAGCAAGCAGTCTACCATTAAGCCACCTTCCCACCCCACCAGACCCATTTTTAAAAAATCTTATTATTTGTTTTGTCTCTTGCACCCAGGATTGATCATAGATTATAGTGGATACGCCATAAATTTTTCAATGTTGAATATACCATAATTTCTGTAATCATTAAAAGTTTAAAGTTACTTTTGAAGTCTCAAATTAGTTATGATGCACTTACTGTTTTAGCAGTCCTTGTATTCTATTACGTTCACACAACCAAAACCTATGATATTATATAGGCATTCCCCTATAAATGGTTACTTAGTACCTATTGTGTAGTCAGTAGCAAGGCAGATGGATCATGTTAGGAAAAGAACTTTTAAAAGTCTATAAGAATTGGAATTTTGTGCATAAGTTTTATGTATTTGATTAAAAGATCTTAAGCAGGGAGTGTGGCATAGTTGTATTAAGAACATTGTATATAAAGGAAGTAAACTGAAATACTATTTTGCCATAAGAAGATAGGTGGTTCAGTGGTAGAGCGCTTGCCTTGCATGCCTGAGGCCCTGGGTTCGATTCCTTAGCACCACATAAGCAAAAAGAAAAAAGCCGGAAGTGGTGCTGTGACTCAAGTTGTAGAGTGTAGCCTTGAGCTGAAGAGCTGAGGGACAGCGACCAGGCCCAGAGTTCAGGCCCCATGACCGGACCCCCCACCCCCCCCAAAAAAAAAAAAAAAAAAAAAGAAGATAAAAATTAGGTCATTTGTAAGAAAATGGATGGTAAGTGATATAAACCATGTAGGTTCAGAAGGACAAGGATCACATATTTTCTCTTGTGGAATCTAGATCTAAAAGATATACATAGATATATACATATATGTGTGTGAATTGGAATGGGTCTGCTACTTTTTTTCTTAGATGATTTCTTCATAATTGCTCACAAAGGTCTGGCAATCCCATCTGTTACAATTGTGATTCACAAAATGATTTTGTTGTTCTCAAAAATAAAAAGGCTTTGAGGGAAGGTTTAAAATATTTGAGATTTCTTGCTGGGGAATTTTGCATCTAATCCTAGCTACTCAGGAGGCTGAGATCTGAGGATCACAGTTTGAACTGGCCCAGGTAGGAAAGTTTGTGAGACTTTTATCTCCAATAAGTTACACCCCCCCCCCCCCATCCCCTTTTAAAAAAAAAATAGATGAGGTAGAGCTGTAGCCCAAGTGGTAGAGCACTATCCTTGAACAAAAGAAGCTTGGAGCTGGGAGCCAGTGGCTCATGCCTGTAATCCTAGCTACTAAGGAGGCTGAGATCTGAGGATCGCGGTTCAAAGTCAGCCTGGGCAGGAAAGGCCATGAAACTCTTTATCTCCAGTAAACCACCAGAAAACAGAAGTGGTGCTATGGCTCAAGTGGTAGAGTGCTAGCCTTGAATTGAGGAGCTAAGGGACAGTACCTAGGCCCAGAGTTAAAGCCCCATGACTGATATCCCCCCTCCCCCCAAATGCTTGGGAACAGTACCTAGCATCACCACCCCCACAATTTGAAGTTTCTTAAAAATAATAAAATCTTTCCAATGGTGTAATGCCCACTCCCTTATCTTGTAGTACTAGGATTTAAACTTTCAGCTTAATACTTACCAGGCAGGTGCTACCACTTGACCCAAGCTTCTAGTCATTTTTGCTTAATACCTGTTGGAAATCTAGATGTATTCACTCACTATTGGGAGTTTTTGTCCCTTCCCTTTTAAAAATACTAAAAACAAGGATTGGACTTGTCTTACTTGTTCAAAGGCTGTATTTGATCCCAGCACAACAAAACAAAACAGTAGATTGGTTGGTGAGATTGAGTATGTAGTGTTTTGTATGGGTTTGGGGTTTAATCACTGTAAATACCAGTTAATTAGTTCTACTTCTGGTTGTGATCAATTAGTTGTAAACACCACTGCCCTCAGACCATCCAATTAGTTCTACTTCTAAAAACTAATTCATAGCTATATGTAAATTGCATGATTTTTTTCTTTTAGATCATAAACCTTGGAATACAAATGAAATGACATTTGAGATGTACATTGGTATAAATAATTATAGGCAATGGAATTCTTCATTGACCTTGAAAAGAACCTTAGGTCTTAGAGGGAGTACTTGCTTAGATAATTGATTCATCATTAAGAAAATTAGTTTAAATACATTATTTCTTTTCATGTCTTCAAATTCTTTAATACTAAACTTTGATAGACTCATGTTAAAGAAAATCTGAATCTTTCTTACCATTTATCCCACAATTATTTTGTATTGTGTTTTACAGTATTGAGTATGCATGGGTTAGGAACAGGGTGCGTGATGTTCTTTTTTTAGCCTGATTTATTCATCACTTAGGTCAAATGTATTTCTAAAATATATTTACTGTGAATCTTGCTTAAGAAAAAAAAAAAACGCCTGAGATATAAAACTTCTTATTATCTTGTAGATGTACTTGAGGGATACAATGGAACAATATTTGCTTATGGACAAACATCCTCTGGGAAGACACACACAATGGAGGTAATATTTTATAATCTGTTCTTGGATATAGTTTCCTGTATAGACAAAGCATTCATCCCTTATTTCTGTAGTTATTGTAAAATAATGAAACATTTTTAATCTCTTGACACATGCCAGCAGTATACAAGTAATATCAATCTGAACTTAGTTCCTGAATTTGAATAGTGGAGAGATGATACACAGATTTTGTCTTGTTGCTCAACATAACCACAAAATAGTGAATGTTTTAAGCAGGAATTCTCTATTATATGAGAAAATTTGAGTGCTTATATTGATTCTACTAAGAATTGATTCTAGCCATGTGCTGGTGGCTAACATCTGTAATCCTAGCTACTCAGGAGGTTGAGTTCTGAAGATCATGGTTCAGAGCCAGCCCAGGCAGGAAAGTCTGTGAGACTCTTACTGCCAATTAACCACCAGAAAACTGGAGGTAGAGCTGTGCCTCAAAGTGTTAGTACTAGTCTTGAGCATAAAAAGCTCAGGAACAGTTCCTTAGGCCCTGAGTTCAGCCTCATAATGGACCCCCCCCCCCCCCCCCAAAAAAGGCTGAGATCTGGAGGATTGTGGCTTGAAGCCAACCAAGACAGAAAAGTCCTTGAGACACATGTCCAGCTAAACATTAAAATACCATAATGGAGGCATGGCTCAAGTGTGAACAAGAAAAACCAAACCAGAGATCAAGGCCCTAAATTCAAATTCAAGCCCTGGTACCACACACACACACACACACACACACCACCCCCGTACCACACACACACACACCCCACCCCGTACCACATACACACACACACACACACACACACACACACACACACACACACACACACACACACACTGTCTTAAGAGATTAATTTTTACAAACTTCTGATAAAAATGTCAGTATTGATGGTGTGGTACTACACACACACACACACACACACACAACACACACACACACCCTCTTAAGAGATTAATTTTTGCCTAACAGACTTCTCTGATAAGAATGTCAGTATTGATGTTGTGGCCTATTCCAACTTGGCATCTAAACAGTCTGAAGGAAATGGAGGTGTGGCTAAAGTGGTAGAGTATCAGCTTTGAAAAAAGCTAAGAGAGAGCCCTGAGTTCAAGTCCTAGTACCAGCACCAAAATTACTGGCCTGTGATCTTCTGCAAATACTGTATCTGAATGTATATAATAATTACTGTTTATTTTGATGTAATTTTCCTTGCTTGATTTCATCAAGTATAGGACCAACATAGTATTTTAAAAGTGATAATAATCTAAACCTAGTGACTACGTGAAGTTGTTAAGATCAAACACGTTGCTGAGCACTGGTGACTCACATGTGTAATCCTTAAGTGCTCAGGATGCTAAGATCTTAGGATCATGGCTTGAAGCCAGCGGGGGCAGAAAAAGTCCATGAGACTCTTATCTCCAGTTAACTAGCAAAAATCAAGAAGTAGACCTGTGGCTCAAGTGGTAGAGTTCTAGCCTTGAGCACAAAAATCTCAGGATCGGCCTCCAGGCCATAACACGTAAGAAAAGATTAAATGTATTTGTTGTACAATAGTGTACAATATTATACTTGAGTAAAATAGCTTTTTTTAAAAAGTATTTAGAGAGCTATCCACAAAAATAGCATTTGCAGTTCCTATCCTCTCTTGATCATAAATTATAAAAAATATTCTATCTCTTACAACTTGTTTAAGAAATCTGGTTTTGTTTTTGTACATAGGGTAAACTTCATGATCCAGAAGGCATGGGAATTATTCCAAGAATAGTGCAAGATATTTTTAATTACATTTACTCCATGGATGAAAATTTGGAATTTCATATTAAGGTAAATTACAACTTAACACTCAAACCCAATTAAATATTTAATAAGTGAATAAACTGTTTTATAAATTTTCTTAATCCTTTTACCCTTTAGGTTTCGTATTTTGAAATTTATTTGGATAAGATAAGGGACCTATTAGATGGTAAGTTAATTTCTTGCCTCTTTTTTTTTTAATTTTATTTTATTTGAGAACATACTGTACAGAGGGGTTACAATTACATGGACAGGATAATGCATACATTTCTTACCAAGCATTGCAGCCTCCTCCTTTGTTTACCCTTCACCTCCCTTCCCAGCCTCCCCCCTCCCCCCCACCCAATCCTTCCCCCGCTCCCCCCCCCCACACCCACATTGTAAAGCTCGTTTTTGACATGACATTTTGTACTTCTCATTGTTGCAACAGAAAATAGCTCCTGCTACTTTAGTAGTAGAAGTGAGTTTATTAGTAACTTAATTAAAAAACATTAAATTGACTTATGTGTAATGGGAAAATTAAATTTTTTTTTTGAAGTTTTAGTTATGTATCTTTTGATATAGAATAGCATACAGGTACTTTTTTTGTGTGCTGGTACTAGGACTTGAACACAGGACCTTGTGTTTTTGCTAATGGTTGTCCTCTGCCACTTAGGTATTTCTTAAATGATACTTAAGTGATATTTTCGGTACTGCACCTTGAGTTAGAGAATCTGAGTCCTAAGTTCTTATATCAGCCAGTAGTCAAATATATTATCTTTAGGCTTAAAGTCTACCTAGTAGCATTAGATTACAAAGGGAAGCCTATTAATTGTAGTTATTTCAAAACTGGTCTAAGAGTTTAGAATAATATTGCTACTTTTTCTCTTTTCAGTTTCAAAGACCAACCTTTCAGTTCATGAAGACAAAAACCGTGTTCCTTATGTAAAGGTACTTAGGAAATAATAGAAAATGGTTATTTAGAAAAAGCCCTGTATTAACTTTTTTAAAGGATTTGACAATACTTTAAATTTTTTCTAGGGATGCACAGAGCGTTTTGTATGTAGTCCAGATGAAGTTATGGATACCATAGATGAAGGAAAATCCAACAGACATGTAGCAGTTACAAGTAAGTAGAATATTTATTGATATTAGAGTATAAATCAAGTGAATAAATCAATTTCTGGATAAACTCACCCAGTTTGATAATCGTAAGATTTTTTTAATGTAAAATAATTCTTTAAGGGAAATTACTAGTAAAGAAACCATGTTTATTTATAGTTGTTTATTATTTCATTTCAGATATGAATGAACATAGCTCTAGGAGTCACAGTATATTTCTTATTAATGTAAAACAAGAGAACACACAAACGGAACAAAAACTGAGCGGAAAACTTTATCTGGTTGACTTAGCAGGTAGTGAAAAGGTAAAGTCCTTATGTATTCTAAGCTATATTTAAGCATTTTTGTAAACTTTACCTTGAATTGGGACTTACACATGTGTTCATTGTTGCACATGGAAAATTTCAAAATTACTTTGTTAATCTGAGAATTATAATTGTTGGTGTCAGTGCTTTATGATAGCATAAGTTGAATGATCTGTCCTTTGACCACACTTGGTTCTGCCCGTACATATACCTTGACTTAAGGATGTGTGTTTATATTGAGAATTTGTTCAATATATGTAATGAATTTTATTAAATATTCCTTTTCTGGTGTCTTACCTGCATTGGTGACTGGTACTGCTGATAACTTGCTTAATCCTTTCTGGTCTAGTTGTATAGTTGTCTCTTGCTTTCCATGGAGAATTGTTTTTAAAGATTATTCCACCCTCATGTCATCCTGTGGATACCCAGAAACACTGGTGTTCAAGACTCTTACCTTATATGCACAGTATTTACATGTAATTTAGGCATATCCTATATACCTTCAATCATCTCCAGATTACTAATACATAATATAGTGTAAATGCTTTGTAAATAACAGTTGTATTGTTTAAGTGACTACTGTAAAAGTCTAGGCTAGGTGCCAGTGCCTCATGTCTGTAATCTCATCTACATAGGAGCCCACCCCAAGAAAGAAAAAATTATTAGTAGGACCTTTATCCCACCAGTAGCTGGGTGTTGTGGTGCAGGCTTATCATAAGAAGGTCAGTTTCCAGGCCTGCCTAGACATAAATTCAATTTTTCTTTATCCCACCAAAAATAGTTAAAGCAAATAGGCTTGGGGTGTGGCTAAGTGGGAAAGTGGAAGTGCAAAGCCATAAGTTCAACCCCTAGTGCTGCCAGAAATTAAAAAAAAAATTTGTGTGTTCAAACGTGAGGTTTTTTTTTTCCTAAATCTTTTCCACTGTTGGCCAGTTGAATCCATGGATACAGAGCATTGCTGATACTTTTTTCTTTGGATTATTATTTCATTTTTATAATATTGTATATCAAATTTTAGTTCATATTGATATCAGAATAGGTTTTAATGTTTTATATTGACCTTTATGGTCAGTATTGCTGTTCTTCTAAGACTATCTGTAACTGTGGAATGTTAGGAAGCCATTTATTTAACAATGTTATTTATTGTTAAACGTATTTGTAATGTAGGTATTTTAGACATTTTATATTTTTTTAAACAGAAATATAGTATGTTTAAATTTAGTCTATTTTTTCTGTAAGTTATAGCCATTAACACTACATTTTAGTAGATTATAGGCTTGTCTTTTCTAATATAACAAAGAGAGTAGCAATGAAAATCGCTATGAATTGGTTTTTTGAAGAGCACAGACTAAAAGTAAAATTTGATATGTTAATAATATCTTTTATGCAACTAGTTTAAGTTTTTAGAAGAATGATACTTACAGAATAGTAAGTAGAACCTTAGAATAAATGCTTGGCAAATAACATGAAGGTTTTGTTTTACCTTTGCAAATTATTGATGACTTACAGTTTCTAGAAAGTTGAAAGTAAATCATCTTAAACTTGTACTTTTTATTATTGTGGAATCATAGGTTAGTAAAACTGGAGCTGAAGGTGCTGTACTAGATGAAGCTAAGAACATCAACAAATCACTTTCTGCTCTTGGAAATGTTATTTCTGCTTTGGCTGAGGGTAGTGTGAGTATACATTCTCCTTTTTAGTGCCCTGATATTTTGGGGAAGATTATTTTAATGTAAATGTGTGTGTGTGTGTGTATATACATATATATGTTCATATATATGTGTGAGAGAGGTTCACAGAATCTGTGTAAATTAGTTATTTTAAGAATTTTAATTATTGTAAATCTTAGTTTCCATCTTGATATTAAGCTGTTAAAATAACTAAAATAATTATTTCAAGTAATTTTTATAGGGACTTTTATATAAGGTAACCCATTGATCTTCTTTTGTTTTTATATGTAGACATATGTTCCATATCGAGATAGTAAAATGACAAGAATTCTTCAAGATTCATTAGGAGGCAACTGTAGAACCACTATTGTCATTTGCTGCTCTCCATCATCATACAATGAGTCTGAAACAAAGTCTACACTCCTCTTTGGTCAAAGGTTTGTTAAGAAATACAAACTTACCAGGAACTGATGGCTCATGCCTGTAATCCCAACTACTCAGGAAGCTGAGATCTGAGGATATCGGTTTGAAGCCAGCCCGGAGAAAAGTCCCTATGAGACTTTTATTTCCAATTAACCAATTAAAAATCTGGAAATAATGCTGTGGCTCAAAGTGGTAGAGTGCTAGTATTGAGCATAAGAGCTCTCAGGGACAGCGCCTTGGTCCTGGATTCAAGCCCCATGACCAACAATGACAGAAAAAGAAATAAGCCTAAAATGTATCTTTTATTCTTTTCTTGGTGCTAGACTTACTTGGGGCTTGAACTCAGGACCTGGGTGCTATACCTGAGCTTTTTATTTATTAATTTTTAATGCCAGTCCTGGGGCTTGAACTTGGGACCTGGGCACTATCCCTGAGCTTCTTTTGCTCAAGGGTAGCACTCTACTACTTGAGACTGTGCCACTTCTGGCTTTTTCTGTTTATGTGATACTGAGGAATTGAACCCATGGCTTCATGCATGCAAGGCAAGCACTCTACCACTAAGCCACATTCCTAGCCCTTAAAGCCTAAAATGTAGGCAGACTTTTTTATATTAAATTTATTAATGTCAGATAGCTGTTCAAATCAGTGCATATTTTTAATATGTACTTTGCTTTTTAATTGAGAGTTCATAGGTCCATCGTTTATTTTGCATACATTAAGATTTCATGCACATTTAATTGTTAACTTAAATTTGTATGAGAATTTTTAATTCATCATTAATAAGCATTTGAATTAGATATGACAAAAGCCTCGCATATACAATCCATTGTTAATCCTGTTAACTTATTTTACAGGTTCAAAAATCTCTAAGAAATGATTAGTCTATGAAAATTAATAGTACTTACTTTACCTGAGACTCTGAATTATAATTGATTTTCTCAATTCGGCCTTAAAAATTAATTGTGAAAATGCATGCTCTGCATTTTTTTTGTTTTTGTTTGTCTTTAGTGAGTTCTTTTTTTTTAACTATTCAAAGATTTTGAGGTTGATTCAAACTTAGGTGGTAATAAGTAAGCACTATACATAAAGGCTTTTAGAATTTAGTATGAAACAACTGGGAAAAAGTGGAAAATTCAGTTATTAACCATATATTATACATTGTATCTGTCAACCAAAAGTAATATCAATCATATCCATTTTTTCCAATTTTATCTCTTAGGGCCAAAACAATCAAGAATACAGTCTGTGTCAATGTGGAGTTAACTGCAGAACAGTGGAAAAAGAAGTATGAAAAGGAAAAAGAAAAAAATAAAACCCTACGCAATACCATTCAGTGGCTTGAAAATGAACTCAACCGATGGCGTAATGGTAATTACTTAAGAATCTCTTATTTTTTTATTCAGTATAGATTTAGGGCTATTTTATGAACGTGATATTTTTATACTAATGTAAGTAAAAGTAAAGCATGTCCATTTTCAGTTTTTATGTGTTTTTAGAATTTTTTTTTCTGATATGTTTAGAGGGATAAATACCAGTTACAACATCTTGCCATAGCAATGTAGTTAGAAGTAATAAAATGAATTTCCGGGACAAAGCTAAATTATAATTCCAGCATTTGGAAGGCAGAGGCAGGAGGATTCTAAGTTTGAGGCTATCCTGGCCTGCATAATAAAACCCTGTCTGAAAAAAAAGTCCCTCAGGGATAGAGCGAATAGAAAAGTTGATCCAAGCTACTGAAATTGAATAAGAAAGAGTAAAATGTTGAAATAAACTCATTAGCAGTCATCTGCTGCAGAAATACCAATATATAAAATTGCTGTCCCACAGAATGCCTTTGAAAGAATAAAAGTGGGTAAGAAATCATAGTATATGTTTGTATTATAATAAAATAGTAAGAAGGGCTGGGAAGGTGGCTCAGAGGTAGAACGCTTGGCCTTGCATGCATGAGATCCTGGGTTTGATTCCTCAGCACCACATAAGCAAAAAAAAAAGAAAAAAGCCACAAGTGGCGCTGTGACTCAAGTGGTGGAATGCTAGCCTTGAGCTGAAGAGCTGAGGGACAGCGCCCAGGCCCAGAGTTCAGGCCCCACGACGGGACCCCCAAATAAATAAATAAATAAATAAATAGTAAGAAAAGAGTGGATAGGAAGGGCAGTTTTATATTACCCATGTCAACCCATTCCCAAGCCATCTTAGTGTTTGGGAAGAAAAAGAGAAGTCAGCACAGGTGTTCCCTTGGAATCCAGTGCTGGGCAGGCTCCTACTACCCCAAACATGAGGCAGGTATCCACAGAACTGAACTTTCAGAACTGCCTCAGTGCCAAGTGGGAGGCACCCTGCAATCATGGGCTTTACACCTTGGGAAGTAGACTTGATCTCCAGTGTCGGCAGTTGTTGGCTCTGGGCAGGCCTTAGGGCTCTCAGGTGTCTAGCCTGTCCTGGATCTCTGGATGGGCTGACTGGAGAGGCTTTTTCACACAAACCTAATTTGCAGAGTAGAGCAAGTGGTTAACTTCTTCAAGTTGGAACGCATCAAAGCACACATATATGGAAACATGGCATCCCCAAACAGATAAAGTGCCATCACCCGACCCAAAACAAATGGAGATGAGAGAGTTTCCTGACAAAGAATTCAAAACAACTGTTAGAAGGAACCTATGTGAATTTCAGGAAAATCCAAAGACAGTCCAATAAACTATGGAGAAAAATAAGTGACCAGAATGGGAAATTGAATCAAAACCAAATAGGAAACACCAACAGCAGAACTGACCAGAAGCAAAAAAAAGACTCTGTGAAGCTAACACAGATTATTTGAAAATAAATTGTACAAAAAATGAAGTCAAATAAAATTGAAATAAGTTTAAGATATGTGGATTTTTTTGTCTTAGGGGAGACAGTGCCGATTGATGAACAGTTTGACAAAGAGAAAGCCAACTTGGAAGCTTTCACAGTGGATAAGGATATTACTATTACCAATGATAAACCAGCAGCCACAATTGGAGTTGCTGGAAGTTTTACTGATGCTGAAAGAAGAAAGTGTGAAGAAGAAATTGCTAAATTGTACAAACAACTTGATGACAAGGTTTGAATTATTTGTTCTAAGTCTGTTTTGTTTTGGATTGTTATTTATGAATTTGAATGTTAGGGCTCCTAATGGTCTATATACAGCTTCCTTGGTTTCTGTTAGCTTTCTTTTGGGTACAGGAAAGACCTTTTGTGCTCATTGCTAATGCTTTACTACTTCAGCCAAAGCTCTGCTTCTGGTATTTTGGTGGTTAATTGGAGATAAGAGTTTCATGGACTTTCCTGTCTGTGTGAAGTCCTATATTTGATACCTAGCACCATAGGAAGGAAGAGAAGGAGGGATTAAGGGAAACTTTTTGAGGAAAATTTGGTAAATAACATTGGAAGATGGAATCTGATGATCCTAATAAAACATAAGACAGGAAGAACAACAATACATTTCTTAAATCATTAGTGTCAATCATGTGAAAAATAACATTTTGAACTTAATAGAAAGGAGGGAAAGGATAAGAACAGTAGAGTATAGGAGAAATTTACTTTCTTTAATGTATTTTAAGCAGAGATGGCCTATTTGAAATGCTTTGTATCTAAGTTTCAGTAGTAACTTTGAACTGTCTTATTTTTCTAGCATTTTAAATATTTAATTAATGACTTTAAAAAGAAGTTTTCCTCTTCACCTAAATGAATTACCATTGTTGATAACTGAATTTCTTTTGTTTCAAAATTTTCTAAAGAGAAAAAACTATGTTGATTTGAAAAAATTATTTGAACTATTTGTGGGCTATAGTAATTTCAGAATTTGTATGGGATACAGTTATGCTATTACTTAAATGCTTGAAAATTTTTAGGATGAAGAGATTAACCAACAGAGCCAACTGGTGGAGAAACTGAAGACACAAATGTTGGATCAGGAAGAGGTATGTTTAACTTTCTTTTATAATGCATCCAAAAAAGTTTCATTTGTTACTATCATTTGAAGATAAATCTATAGATGCAAGAATTTAATATTTTATGACTAAGTGCATGACATTGTGGCCTTCCTGGGCGAGATAAATCATGGATTGATGTATAGATTAACTTCCTCTTAAGTTATTTATTTTAATTTTGCTTTGTTTTTAAATTGGAGTTTCCTTTCTCCTGGAGAGAAGAGAACTTTTTTTGGGGGGAGGGGGGAGTCCGGTCGTGGGGCCTGAACTCTGGGCCTGGGCGCTATCCCTCAGCTCTTCAGCTCAAGGCTAGCACTCTACCACTTGAGCCACAGTGTCACTTCCGGCTTTTTTCTTTTTGCTTATGTGGTGCTGAGGAATTGAACCCAGGGCCTCTGGCTTGCAAGGTAAGCGCTCTACCACTGAGCCACCTTCCCAGCCCTAAAATGTTGTTTTCTATCTTATTATTGGTCTGTGAGGAAGAGTTAGGACAGTGATCTGAATAATGTTAGATTCTTCCCCGCCCCCTAATGAAAAATACTCATGTGTGGATATGACTATGAGCTTTTTTTTTGGTTCGACCAAGGGCCTTGTGCATGTAGGCAATCTTCTACCATAAAATTTTTTTATTAAGCCAGGTGCAGGTGGCTCAAACCTGTAATTATAGTTACTCAGGAAACTGAGATCTGAGGATTGAGGTTCAAAAAAAGCCAGCCTGGGCAGGAAAGTCTGCAAGACTCTTTTCTCCAATTAACCACTTAAAAACCAGAAGTAGCACTGTGAGTAAAGGTGGTGGAGTGCTAACCTTAAGCAAAAGAGCTCAGGAACAGTGCCCAGGCCATGAGTTCAAGCCTCATGACTGCAAAACAAAAAACCCAACTGGTTCACTTGAAAACAAGATACAAGTCTACAAGTATTAAAGACTTAAAAAAAATCCCATTAACTTTAATTGTATTTTTCAGCATAACTTTTTATGGAAATGAGAATGTCTCATGAATAGAAAGCACTTTTTAGAGCTGGTCATGTGGCACAGTGCTTGCATGGAATGTGCAAAGGCCCTGGATTGATTGCTACCACTGCAAAATAAAGGAAGATTGTAACTCTTCCATCGTTTCTACCCACTTCTGTTCATTTCTGTAGTCTTTCCTTTCATCTCAGTTCTTCTATATCTTTCTTTTCCTAGATCCTAGTTTGGTCCTTCATTTTATCCCACCCTGTATGGAAAAAAATAGTCCCTATGTAAGTTTTTTTGGGGAGATGAGGATAAAGTTTATATCCCGTTTATAAGGGTTGTCCATCCTCATTGAAATTAATCCTGGTCATTTCATCTTCATATTTAAACATAACTGTAGGACATTTTTGGTTATGTTGAGTTTTTTTGTTTGTTTGTTTGTTTGCTGTTTTGTCCTGTGCGTTATAGGATATTTACTGTCCCTGATCCTAAATGCTATTACCCATAATGAACATCCCATGATTTCCAAATATGAACATTCCTGCATATTTCTGAATGTCTCTACTAAAAGCCACTGATTTGCCAGTGGCTCACACCTGTAATCCTAGCTACTCAGGAGCCTGAGATCTGGGGATTATGGTTTGAAACCAGCCCAGGCAAGAAAGACTGTGAGAATCTTTTTCTACCATTAACTGAAAAGCCAAAAGTGGAGCTGTGGCTCAAGTGATAAAGCACTAGCGAGCAAAAAATGCTCAGGGATAGCCCTAAGACTGCACCAGAAAACAAAAAAGGTCACTTATTATAGATTGCAGTAGCTTCTTGACTAGTCTGGTTCTCTCCATTTCATATTTTATGTGCTGAGTCATGGCATTGCTCCCAATGTTGCCCAAAGTAAATCTAATCTTCTAATAAACTATTCTAAACATCTAAGTTCTTGTTTGTCTGAACTCAATTCATAAGTCAATAGTCTATTAGTAATTTTCACCTGACTAAAATCTACCTATTTTTATTCAACTTTTCTTTTAAATACTCTCTAGAAACCCCTTCTTTTCTTTCCTTTCCTTTCCTTTTCTCAGTCATGGGGCCTGAACTCTGGGCCTGGGCACTGTCCCTCAGTTCTTCAGCTCAAGACCAGTGTTCTACCACTTGAGCCACAGCACCACTTCTGGTTTTCTGGTAGTTTATTGGAGATAAAAGTCTCAGACTTTCCTTCCTGGGCTGGGCCTTTGAACTGTGATCCTCAGATCTCAGCCTCCTTAGTAGCTAGAATTACAGGTGTGAGCCACCAATGCCTGGCTAACACCTCCTTTTCTCGACTGCCATACTTCTCCTTTATAACTTACATTCCACTATGTGTTAGCCTTTTCTAGGTTCCTGTATTATTTTACTAGACTCCTCAAAGGCAAAATGTCATCTTACATTCTCTCTTCCCCCAGGGCCTGTGTAATAAGTATCCAGTAAATTTGTTGAATGTGTGTTAAACATTAGCACCCACGTTTTATTTCTCAGTGCTTAGTAAATGATAAAGCCATTCAATGTGTTGTAAAAATTATATTTATTGGTAAAAATACATATTTTACTGTTTCTTACAGCTTCTGGCATCTACCAGAAGGGATCAAGACAATATGCAAGCTGAGCTGAATCGCCTTCAAGCAGAAAATGATGCCTCTAAAGAAGAAGTAAAAGAAGTTTTACAGGCCTTAGAGGAACTTGCTGTTAATTATGATCAGAAGTCTCAGGAAGTTGAAGACAAAACTAAGGAATATGAATTGCTTAGTGATGAATTGAATCAGAAATCGGTAAGATACAGGTACTTTTTCCTTAATAGTAGCATAATCAAAGTTAATTGGAAAGTTACTTTATTTCTAAATAAGCCTTAGATACTGATAGCATCAAGTCTCAGGATTTGATAGCATCCAGAGTCAGGGTTTAACTTCAATTATCTTGTATTTTGAAACCTTGTAAGTAAAGGAAGAGGGTTATTATTTTGGTTCCTGAAGGTCTTTAAAATGTGTACTTTCAGGATTAATTGAAAAGATTTTAGCTATTCTTAACGATAAAGTGAAAAGAACTAAAAGCCTTCAGTTTTTACTATTGGGTGATTATTCAAAACTACAAATCAAGAAATAAATACACAAAAAGTAAAGATAATGCTGTTTAACTGAATTATTTAGAATAGTTCCAAGGATATATAAGCATGTAATTTTTTACTAGTTTAGTGAATAGTCCATCACCTGGAATGATGCCTTCCCAGCACAATATAATGGGATCTTCTGTGGGTCTCTAATAAGTGGAAATTTTTATTTACTATTCCTTAGGGCAGAGACTACCAATCAGTGATGCCAGAAATAGTGTATAGCTATAATTGTTTCAATATCACTATTCTTAGGTTCTCATTTAGACATTGGAACCTGGACTTGCACTCAGGTTCATTACCTACCATCTATTTCCCAGACTCTGTACTTGTCTAAAGGAAAGCAGTCAGCACAATGAAATAACACTGTTAAAAGGTTTCCTTCCCCTGATGAGTTCATCTCCTCTTTTTAATCACCAAAGCTTGAAGTCAATTTAGTGCCATGGAGATTAAAGACATCATTATAGATTTCCCAAGTTAAATTGTTAAACCTGTTTGTTGTTTAGTAGGTAGAACAATGGCAACATCAGAACTCTACAAGTTGGTCCTTGTCTACTGGTTACAGTTTCTAAGACATAAATAACTGTGTCTTTGTTGTGGAGTTGAAATTGGCACTATCACAATTGGTAATAGTTAGAAACCTCTGGCATTTAGTACCTTATATGCTTAAACAATATTATTAGAGAAAATGTCTGTAAGTTTTAACTTTTATGGTAGAAGCAGGCAGTATTATGAGAATTGCAAGAAAGCTAGTATTCTATTCTAGATTAAATCAGACAAACATACTGATATTCAGAAATTTCAGGAAATTAGCCATGAGAAGAAACAAGTTGAAATGAAACTCTCAGTGATTCACATCTGCAATCCTAGCTATGTAGGAGACATAGATAGGAGGATTGTTGTTTGAGGCTAGGCTGGAGAAAATTAAGACAACTTATTTGAAAAATAAAAGAAAAAAAAGATAAAACTATACCATTAAAAACAAGGACTAAAAATGAGTAAGTTGCATTGAGTTGCAACTTAAATAGCTTAAAAATGAGCCAAATTGGTTTGGACTTTTCAAACTTTAATGACTTTGTAGCTGGTAAGACACCTATTACTAACTGTAGACTTGTAGTAATTGAACTTAGTAATGTTACTTCATCACTAGCTCCTAGATAATTGTTTAAATCATAGTATCACAAATAATATTATCAGTAGGTGGATTCTTTTTAGTGAGTATGTAGAAAGTAAATGAAGAATGCATACTAACCATGTAGAAAACTTAGCTCTATTCTGAGCTAACATTAAGTTGCTTAGCCTGAATTTCCAAAGGTAAACCAATATAGCAATGAATAATATCTAGCTAATTATATCTAATTGATTTTGAAACTGCCACTTCATGACAACAATCCAGTCTCAAAAATGCAGTAGAGGGCTGGGAAGGTGGCTCAGTGGTAGGGTGTTTGCCTTGCATGCATGAGGCCCTGGCTTCAATTCCTCAGCACCACATAAGCAGAAAAAAAAAGCTGAAAAAACTGCAAGTGGCACTGTGGCTCAAGTGGTAGAGTACTAGCCTTGAGCTGAAGAGAACCCAGGCCGAGTTCAGGCCCCACGACTGACCCCCCCCCCACCCCCAAAAAAAATGCAGTGCAATTAGTACAGACCACATATTCTCTTATTGTTCTATAATGTGTTTAGGTGGTATGATAGGAAGGAAAGTGCCAGTTTTGGGGTTTTTAACTTAGGGACTTGAGAACTCTACCACTTGAGCCTCACACTTCCTGACAGCCCCTGCACATCTATTCTTTTTTTTTTTAATATACACATTTTATTTTATTGTAATGATGTTGTGTAGAGGGGTTACAGTTACATGAGTAAGGTAATGAGTACATTGCTTGCTGAACATTGTTACCCCCTCCTTTGTTTTTTCCCTACTATCCCTCCCCCCCCCCCCCACACACACACACACATGTATTCTTAATGGACTAAAATATGGCTACTTTACCTAGTCTGGAAATCTAAAATATTTTTAAAGCTCAAGTTGGGAGCTGGCCCAAAATTCAGTAGATAGATATCTTGAGCTATATGGTACTATAAAGGTTACGTGAAAAAGTTGAGATCCTCGTGAGTATTTGAATTGAGTTTCGTCTGTTTTTATTTTTGGTTATCAGGCAACTTTAGCAAGTATAGATGCTGAACTTCAGAAACTTAAGGAAATGACCAGCCACCAGAAAAAACGAGCAGCTGAGATGATGGCATCTTTACTGAAAGACCTTGCAGAGATAGGAATTGCTGTGGGAAATAATGATGTGAAGGTAAATAGAACTAAATATTAAATGTATATTCAACTCATAAGTTTGATTACTGCTTATCTTCATAAGGCTCAAAGATTTTGCATTTAGAAATTATCTTAATAATGTTACATGTAAGTATTTAAAATATTGTTGAAGAAGCTGGAGGAAAGTCATAAATAAATTGGCCCGTACTTGCTTTAAATGTTATTTTTAAAGGAAAAATAATGAACACTGAATAATTCTTCTTTAACAGTTTTAATATGCCTTGTTTTGTATGTTTTAATGTGATTTTTATGTTGCCCAGGCTGGCGTCATAATGGGCTCAGATGATCCATGTGCCTCAGCCTCTCAAGTAGCTGGGAACTACAGTCATACATCACTGTGCCCCATATTTTTCCCTGTATCTTATAATGGATACTAATACAGGTTATGTCAACATTACATATGTGGTCAAACATTTAGCAAGTCAACTGCAGAAGCATGCACATACTTCATATTGTTAGAGGCTAGGATTCTTGTAATTCTATAATTTCTTTACACCAACTCACCTTTGAAACAAAGGAACTAAATACTAGGTGACCTAACTTGCTGTCTTCAGAATCAGTCTGAATATCCTACTCTACCCATTTTTATGGTTATGTGGAATACAAAGATACATGGGAATCATTCCATCTTTGGATGTAAAAGTAAATTTACTTCACGTCACTGAACATTAAAAGGGGATGTCAAGCCAGGTGCTGGTGGTTCATTCCTGTAATCCTAGCTACTCAGGAGACTGAGATCTGAGGATCGCGGTTCAAAGGCAGCCTGGGCAGGAAAGCCCGTGAAACTCTTATCTCCAATAAACCACTAGAAAACCAGAAGTGGTGCTGTAGCTCAAGTGGTAGAGTGCTTGCCTTGAGCTGAAGAGCGCAAGGACTGCACCCAAGCCCAGAGTTCAAGCCTCACGACTCAAAAAAAAAAGAAGGGATTCTCAGTTGCTTTGTACATTTATGTTAATTTAAGTAGGAAATAAAAATGGTGAAGGCTGGAAAAAAACAATAGTTATGGCTTATATGTTGTCATACCACCAGGGATAAAATACAGGTTTCCTTGATTCCTTGACTGCTTTGTTACTGCACCTTTCTAGCAGTTTGGAAACAAGTCAGTCTTTCAAATAGGTATTGGGGAAGAAGACACAAAAAAACTAAGGATACAGTGGCGCTGTAGCTCAAGTGGTAGCGCGCTAGCCTTGAGCTGAAGAGCTGAGGGACAGCGCCCAGACCCAGAGTTCAAGCCCCACGACCGCCAAAAAAAAAAAAACTAAGGATGCTTAGTATTTTGTCATCTACATGTAGTTCTTTTCTGTTGAGCCTTTTTTTCTTTACTCTTTTACAGTTTATGGATTTTAATGCATTATAATTCCATCATCACAGTGTTCAGAATGGCTTACCACTGTGACAAATTTTTGCTTTACTACCCTACCTCCAAGTTTTTGTTATTATTTTTACCATCTATATATGCTTCTCCAAAATACTAGCTTTTCCTTAGAGTATGCATTTATGCGTAATTTTTTTGTCTTTCATTTGTTTAATATTTTGTCTAGTGTCTGTATTGAACTCAGAGTCTCATGTTTGTTCCGCTTGCTTGCTTCATCAGCAGGCACTCTACTACTTGAGCCTTACTTCAGCTGGCTTTTTGCTGGTTATTGGAAATGTAGTCTCATGGGCTTTTCTGCCTGGGTTGGCTTTGAACCTAGATTCTAGATCAATTTCAGCCTTCTTAGTAGCTAAGATTATAGCAGATGGTTCCTGCCTTAGTTGATTTTTGAGACCAAGTTTTAATATGAGCTCCACCTGGAGCTCACTTTGTATAGGCCCCTGCTTGTCTTGTACTTTTGATCCTGTCCATTGTGTAGCTCAGGCCTGCTGCCACCCTTCAAGTGCTAAGATTACAGGAGTGTGCCACTAAGCCAGCAGTTTATAGGCTTTTTAAGAAATTCCCAAGTGGTCTTCCAAAGTGACTAGCAGTTTATATTCCTACCGGTGTTTAATGAGAATTGTTGGTTAATCCTCAGTCGTATTTAGTATTAGGTTTTTTGAATTTTTTTGTAACTATTTGTTTTTAATATTTTACTATTTTAATTTGCAGTTTAGCTTTATTGTTGAGTTAGTGTTTTTTTTGGTATGTTTTGGGTATAACTCTTCTAAATACTGTTTTTAGTATTCTCCAGTCCATGGCTTGTCTTTTTTTCTCTCTTTTAAGAGTGTATTTTGCAGAACTGAATTTTAATTTTAATAGAGTCTAATTTGCTCTTTTTTTTTTCTTGGATTGTGTTTTTTGGTACTATTTTAAAAATTTATCACCAAAATAAGATTTTCTCTTATTTTGAATTTATATTTAGGTCTCTTGGAGCTAATTTTCCTGTAAATATCAAGATTCATTGTTATTCGTGGATATTTTATTAGAGCACTGTTTGTTGAAAAGAATGTCTCTCTGCATTGAATTCCTTGGCCCTATGTCAGAGATCAGTTGATAATGTATTTATGTGGGTCTATTCCTGAGCTCTGTTTTCTTCTGTTCCATTGACCATTTGTCTTCAAACTATATAGTAGTTACCCTTATCAACAGTTTTTCTTTTTTTTTTTTTTTGGTCCAGTCCTGGGGCCTGAACTCTGGGCCTAGGCTCTGTCCCTAAGCTCTTCAGTTCAAGGCTAGTGCTCTACCACTTGAGCCACAGCGCCACTTCCGGCTTTTTTCTTTTTTCTTATGTGGTGCTGAGGAATCGAACCCAGGGCCTCATGCATGCAAGGCAAGAGCTCTACCACTGAGCCACCTTCCCAGCCCCTCAACAGTTTTTCATGGTTTCAGTTACTATAGTACACTATGGTATGAAAATATTAAATGCAAAACCCTAGGCATAAATCATGTATACATTTTTATGGTCTATTTAGTGTTATAATTTATAGTTATTAAAATTCCTGTTTTATTAGATATTGTTAATCTCTTACTGTGCCCAAGATAAACTTTATAGGTTTGCGTAAGAAAAAAATTGTCAGGATTTCAGGCAGCCATGGAACAGTTTTCAGGGAAAGGAAACTTGGTACTGTCTTGATTCTTACAGTCTTCTTACAGTAAAGCTTTAGCATCTATCTTTAATATTGTTGGGCACCCACTATATAAATTTCAGAACCAGTTTTTCAATATTTACAAAGTAACTTGTGATTTGGGGATTAAATTGTTTCATGCTTTTTTCTTATGATCTTGATATATTAGGTTTTTTGCCTTTGATGCCTTTTTGTGTATTGGTTTGTTTTTGTGCTAATGTAAGTGAAACTTTCATTTTTGTGGTGCAGCCCAGAGTTCAAGCCCCACGACTGACCAAAAAAAAAAAAATAGTATCCATCTTATAAGATCATTTTTGTGGTGCAGGGGTTTAAGCTCACTACTTTCAATATGCTAGCCCAGTGCTCTGCTGCTAAGCTTTAACCCCAGCCTGTATGTTTATATTCCAAATTAAGTGGAATTACTCATTGTTATATAGAAGTTGGTTGACTTTTATACAAATCTTATAGCCTTCAAATGCCACTACAGTTAGTTTCAGGAATTTTTCTTGATTGCCATATCATTAGGGAAAGTAAAAACAGTATTTCTACCTTCCTAAACTCCATTCTTCATTGATTTTTTTTTTTCCCCTTGGGGTATAGGGGTAGTCATTGAGAATAGGGTCTTACTGTGTAGCTGAGAATGGCTTCAAATTTGCCATCTTCTTTTTTTTTTTTTGGCCAGTTCTGGGGCTTGAGCTCAGGGCCTAGGCACTTTCCCTGAGCTGCTTTTGCTCTAGGCTAGCACTTTACCACTTGAGCAATAGCACCACTTCTGGCTTTTTCTGTTGATGTGGTACTGAGGAATTAAACTTAGGGCTCATGCATGCTAGGCAAGCACTCTACCACTAAGCCACATTCCTAGCCTAAATTTGCCATCCTCAGCATCCCAAGTGTTAGGACTATAGGTGTATGCCAAATGCCTGCCTGACATTGGAAGTGATGGAAATTTTAATGAAACCCATAAAAGATAAGGAATGAATAGTTCTTTTTTGTTGAGCTTAAAAAATCATCCTTTCTCTTTCATCTAAATACCTCTTACTTGCTCAGTTTTAATTTGATCTCATACACAGTTAAAAATGTTTATGGAAGAGTTCTTGTGAAAAGGAAATCCAGCCATTTAAAAGAACATAAATCTATTAGTTTAAGTTGTAAAGTAGGAAAGGCAGGCTAGTACTAGTGGTGTACGTTTATTACTCAGGAGGCTGAGACTGAGGCAGGACAGTTTTGAGTTCAAGGTTAGCCCGAGCTAACTAGGAAAGTCCTGTTTCAAAACACAAAGAGAAAAAAATGGGAAAGGGTAAAAAAGTAAGCTCTATTTACACTTTGTTAAAATAATAATAAAAAGTAAATTCCAGACTTCTTGTGCCTTATGAATGTTTTAAAATGTATTGTGTTAAAACATTTTCTAGTTTAATGGGGGAAAAAACACTGAATATCTTTGAGTTTCAATTTTTATTTCATTTGTTTCTCACAGCAACCTGAAGGAACTGGCATGATAGATGAAGAGTTCACTGTTGCAAGGCTCTATATTAGCAAAATGAAGTCAGAAGTAAAGACAATGGTGAAACGCTGCAAGCAGTTGGAAAGCACACAAACAGAGAGCAACAAGAAAATGGAGGAAAATGAAAAAGAGTTAGCAGCATGCCAGCTTCGCATCTCTCAAGTGGGTGTTCTAGAACATTTCTTCATTCTTAAACTAGCCATATATAAATTATTATAAAGGTTTTTAGAAAAGTAAGCAACTATAAGTTCAGCAATGAAATAAAAAGCTTCATTTAGTTATGTTGTCTTCATAGAGCAGGTATAGTATAAGAGCTCAAATGATTTAACGATTATGTTTGCTAGTGTGCATGTATGTTCAGTGTAGAAATTTGCTAAAAAGATGTGACTTACGTGACTGGAAGACTACTGAAAAGTGGCATAGTGGTGAATGTTTTCTAGGTTTGGCTGGTCTGTTATTCACTATGACAGGAACTGGTCAAAGAGAAAAAGAAATCACATTAGATAGAGATAGCTACAGGAATATCTAATGCCATGAGACTTACTGCCTTCATGTATAAGTGAATGTCTATTTTATTGAATTAATTTCTTAAGATTTTAAGTCTGGCTCCTGAGCGCTTTAGGATCAAGTGCCTTAATAATTTCTTTGTAAATACATACGTAAGCAATAAAATTTGCTTACTTTCAAAAATTCTTAACAAAATATGTGTGGGAGATACATTTCCCACCTCATGTCAGTATGTTTCTTCCCAAAGCATGAAGCAAAAATCAAATCATTGACTGAATACCTTCAAAATGTGGAGCAAAAGAAAAGACAGCTGGAAGAATCTGTGGATTCCCTTGGTGAAGAACTAGTTCAGCTTCGAGCCCAAGGTATTGGCTTCTGATTGTTTATGACTCATTCATTCTTTCTTACCTTAGTATAGTTGTTGTATTCCTGGATTGATACTGATGGATAATTTGGAATGAATGATAGACAATTATGTCTTTAAGTGTGGCTTTGAGGTCTTTATTTTTCCCCCTTTAGCTCTGTATAGAGGGTTTTACTCTAGGATTTGAGCTCAACCTGAGGTCTTTAAATTATGAATGGTAATCTATTACTTGAGTCATACCTCTACTCCAGCTTTTTGCTGGTTTATTAAAGATTAGAGCTTCGATTTGTCTGCCCAAGCTGGCTTTGAGCTTCTGTTCTCAAAATCTCAGCCTCTTAAATACCTAGATTTATCTGAGCCACCAGTACTTGGCTTGAAGTCCTTTGTGTGTGTGTGTGTGTGTGTGTGTGTGTGTGTGTGTGTCTGTGTGTGTGTGTGTGTGTGTGTGTGTGTGTGTGTGTGTGTGTGTGTGTGTGTGTGTACATATGCCAGTTCTAGGGCTTGAACTCAGGGCCTGGGCAGTGTCCCTAAATTTTTTTTCTCAAGGTTAGTGCTCTACCACTTGAGACACAGCTCTACTCTGACTTTTTGGTGGTTAATGGGTTATATAAGAGCCTCAGGAACTTTTCTGTCCAGGCTAGCTGCAAACCATAATCCTCAGACCTTAACCTCCTAAATATCTAGGATTACAGGCATGAGCCATTGGTGCCTGGTTTTGAAGTCCTTTTATAATTATGTTTGAATATATAAATAGTGAAGCTTCCTAGCTTTACTTTTCCACAAAATTGTATAGTTAGTGTGTGTGTGTGTCTGTCTCTGTATACACACATGCATGTGTGTGTGCGTGCAAATCTTAACATAATAGGGTTTTTATAAACATTTGCTTTATGTAACTAAATGTACTAGTCAACATTGTTATCAAACTTGGAGAATACTATTAAGTAGCCTACTTTTTATAAAAACTCATTGGCTTATTTTGGTTTATTAAAGAATAAGGCTTACTTTGCTCCACATTTGTCTTTTCTTCTTAAACAGAGAAAGTCCATGAGATGGAAAAAGAGCACTTAAATAAAGTTCAAACTGCAAATGAAGTGAAGGTAAACTTGTTGCTATCTGGGATTCTAATAACTTTCATCTGTCATTATTAATTTTTATTAATCTGACTTTAAAATCTCTTTCCCCCCAAATTTTAGCAAGCTGTTGAACAGCAGATCCAGAGTCACAGAGAAACTCACCAAAAACAAATCAGTAGTTTGAGAGATGAAGTTGAGGCAAAGGAAAAACTTATAACTGATCTTCAAGAGTAAGTATTTTACCTTCTCATATTGAAATTATTTTAATGGATTAGTTGGATAGGAAGAAATACTAGGTTATTAGTGGATAATAATATCTTTATTTGAATTTGCCAACTGAAATGAAATTATAAATTTTGGCTTGGAAAATTAAGTATTTTAACATTGATGGATAGAACTTCGAAGTTGCAGGTCATATTTTTGAAAAATGTTTTTAGGCCTTTTTAACTACTCAGTAAAAAGAAAAACTCCAGCTTAAACTCAGTCTTACAAATAGTTATCAGAATTTTAAAATCATTTGAGAAAAGTTTAGTTGGAAATTGTTAACTTTCATGTTTCAACAGAAGTCTTAATTCATCTAGAAGCCATTTACTTTACAGAAATTATAGAGGTCTGTAATGATTTGAGTAAAAGTCAGAAGAAATTTAAGAAGTCAAAATAAAATGTTAAAATTTGGGATATAGATCTCATTGTTAATACCTAATAAGAAGGAAGGATAAGGATTCTAAGAGTAGAATAAAATAATGATTTCAAATCAGAACATCAGAAGTACTGTCTGGCTGTAGCTAGGTCCCTTCCCTGTTCTTCCTCCCATGTGATGACAAAGGAGGCTTTCCTTGTTTGGGTTCAAAAAAAGTTTTGATGAGGCATTCAGAAAACTGAAGTTGAGCTTGCCTTTTTTTTCAGCCAAAACCAGAAAATGGTGTTAGAGCAGGAACGCCTAAGAGTGGAACATGAGAAGTTAAAAGCTACAGATCAGGAAAAGAGCAGAAAACTACACGAACTTACGTGAGTAATTATTTTAACTGTAGTTTAAAAATAGAAAATTCAGTTATTTTCCCTCAGATGCATTTGTCTTCTGAGTTTATTTGATTTATATCTAAAAATTGAAGTATGTACTTGTCTTTTCAGTAGTGGTGAAGATTTAGGTGGCTGCTGTTTTGTGTCACATTACGTCAACAGCCAAAACATGAATCTAATATATGACACTAAGTGATATATAGGGTATTTTAAGGTCTAATGCATAAACTGAATTTTATAAATTTGATTTTTGCTTTGTTTTTAGCCTTATCTTTGAACAGAGGTTTTGTTGTGTACTTTTACTCATTTATTGAGTTTACTACTCAGTTTTCCAGAATCTGAGTTAGAGGAAAACTTGCAATAATAATTTTTCATGAACCTTAAATTGTAAACAGACAATATGCAAGTAAACTTGTGGGATGGTTACACCTTTCGGTCCAGTTCAGAGTTGATTTTGTAGAGGTTCTTCAGAGTCAGTAAGGATATAGCCCAGTGTAGCAGAACACTGACGATAGTGTACTGGAGGCCCTGCATTCATTACTCAGAACTGGGTTCAATAATATGCTGAGTGTACTGTAGTTTTGTTTAGTGTAAATTTAACGTAAAATATTTTAGTTTTTGAGGCTGGGGAATGTGGTTTAGTGTTAGAGTGCTTGCCTAGCATGCATGAGGCCCTGGGTTCAATTCCTTGATACCATGTAAACAAAAAATAAGTAAAATAAATAAGTTTTTTAAGGTATATACATATTTTAGTCTTTGTCAAGTGATAATATCTGAAATTCCTAGTTATTTTGGATAAACTAGTATAATACATATGAATATTTAAAAATAAAATTTTAAGTCCTCCTTAAATTTTGCTATGTACAGAGATCTCCATCAAAGAGGAGGGGTTCATCTGATAAACTTATATTTGTAAGAAGATGATAAAGCATAAAAGATTACAAGAGGAAACTACTGATTAAATATGAATGTCTTTCATTTATTTGGGCCTAATTATAATTATTAAATTATTTCCTTATAGAAACAAAGTGAGAATACTTATGTATATTCTTTCACTATTAGGGTTATGCAAGATAGACGAGAACAAGCAAGACAAGATTTGAAGGGTTTGGAAGAGACTGTGGTAAGACAGTTGTGAAAATAAGTAGGATTAAGCTGTGTTTTATGGGGTTTTCTCATTCTGATTATTTTGAATTTGAAGTCTAAATTGCAAAACTGTTTCTGTTCTTAATTCAAGGCAAAAGAACTTCAGACTTTACACAACCTACGCAAGCTCTTTGTGCAGGACTTGGCGACCAGAGTTAAAAAGGTAATATAAAAATACTGAGGTGGATATTCATAGAAGTACTGCTTACTTTTGTGTAATCCTTTGTACTTGCAAATGAAGTGATTATGTGACATGTCATTGTTCATGTAGTTAAGCATGGGTTTTTTGCTTTTGAGTTTTTTTCATAGTATCATCACCCTTTTTTCCAGAGTGCTGAAATTGATTCTGATGACACTGGAGGCAGTGCTGCACAAAAGCAAAAAATTTCTTTCCTTGAAAATAACCTTGAACAACTCACTAAAGTGCACAAGCAGGTAATGCGGAGTATGTTTTGTGTTACGTATAACATTTGCAAGTGACAAATTTAGGGGTAGAAAGTATGAGTCCTAGAAAATTTTTATAGCCTGAGCCATTCCGTTATTTTATTAAGCAGTTATGTAAAGAAAGCTACCAGTGGGCACTCAGAGCTCACAGCTGTAATCCTAGCTCCACAGGAGGCTGAAATTTGAAATTTAAAGCCACAAAGGCAGTAAAGCCCAGGAGATTCAATCATCATAACCAGCAAGATGGATGACAGAGGTGTAAATCAGGTGGTAGAGGGCCAGCTGAGCAAGGGCACGGGGCCAGTGTGAGGCCTTAAGTTCAAACCCCCATACTGTTTGGGTGTGGGCAGCCACCACCAGAAAACCCCAAAACTAGCAGCTTGTAGGGAACTTAATATTTTTATCTTGCTGTTGTTTTAAGACAGCCTCAAACTTCTGATCCCCTTCCTCTCAAGTAGGGTATTAGCTACCATCCCCAGCTGGGAAGTTAATATTTTTAACAATCTTACTATCATAAAAGACAACTGAAACATGTATTGTTATTTCCTCTGTAGGATTTCTGTCTTGATAGTTTTCTTAATTTTTTAATAAATTATTGGACCCAAATACAATTTTTTTCCTTCTTAATCTTTTTTTACATTTAATACCCACGCTGTGAAGTATGTCATACTGTAATTCATAATTTTTAGGATAATACTTATTAATTATCTTGCTTATTTTAAAAATTAAACAGCCACTGTAAACCTGGTATGTACAATAAAGTTAGTCATTTTTTTCCTTTTCTTCAGCCCTTATCAAAGAGTTTGTTGTGTTTACTTGTACTTTTAATATGTATAAAAGTATTTTCATTTTCCTCAGATCAGTTTTAGTAAGGATAATCCTGTACTTTAGCATTGTGTTCTGGTTTACTCTCTTTGCCTAATGGGGGAAATAATCTGCTCTGTAAAAAATTAAACACCTGGGGCTGGGAAGGTGGCTCAGTGGTAGAGTGCTTACCTCGCACGCTTGAGGCCCTGGGTTCGATTCCTCAGCATCACATAAGCAGAAAAAGCTGGTCCTGTAGCTCAAGTGGTTGAGTGCTTGCCTTGAGCTGAAGAGCTAAGGGACAGCGCCCAAGCCCAGAGTTCAGGCCCCACAACTGACAAAAAAAAATAAAATAAAAATATTAAACACCTATCTTGGTGTGCATCTGTAGGATAAATATGCTATATATATGTTTGTATATTCCCTGAATTGAAACGTCTTTACTAAAGAGCAATTATGAATTGTTCATCTAATCATATTATCTTGTTAAAGCTAGAATCCTTGTTTTCTTTGTACATCTTTAGTTGGTACGTGATAATGCAGACCTTCGATGTGAACTCCCTAAGTTAGAGAAACGACTTAGAGCTACAGCTGAAAGAGTGAAAGCTTTGGAGTCAGCGCTGAAAGAAGCCAAAGAAAATGCATCTCGTGATCGCAAACGCTATCAGCAGGAAGTAGATCGTATAAAGGAAGCTGTCAGATCAAAGAATATGGCCAGAAGAGGGCATTCTGCACAAATTGGTTAGTATAAGATGCTAAAAACTTCAAACCCTACTTGGCATGAAGGCTTACATTTAGTTGAACATTATGTTAATTTTATAACTCATTGCCATGGTGGTAGGTGTCAAAATTGCCAAAGAGTGATATTGTTAGGAAGGGAGAAATTGAATGATAGCCTCATTAACAGGACAGGTAGGTAAACAACCAGATATACAAGCAGGAATGTGAGGGTTAAAAGAAACTGTATAGAGCAACATTTTTAAAGAAAAAAGTGAATTGGATGAAAATAAATCAGCAATGAATTTATGTTTCAAAATGATTATTGGTTTAGGGATAAGACTTTTTTTAAGAGTTTATACATTAAGTCTAGGAAAAAAAGAGTGTAGCCAAAAAGAACAGAATGAAACAAAAAGGCAAAAAACAATAAAATATTTTAGAATTTGTCACAAATAACAAGAAGAGATGATCATTACAGTCATAATGTTGAGCTTTATTCTGAGTCAGTCTTTATTTTCATATTAGCTAAACCCATTCGTCCTGGACAACATCCAGCAGCATCTCCAACTCATCCAAGTGCAATTCGTGGAGGAGGTGCATTTGTTCAGAATAACCAGCCAGTAGCATTGCGAGGTGGAGGAGGAAAGCAAGTGTAAACACACATACTCACAGGTTTGTATTTTTATCTAGCTTTTGAATTAGATGTATATTAAGATACTGAGCCATTGGTTGGTAAATAGGTTTTAAATTTTCTTTTTTAGTTCTCACTTTAGTGACTTATTTGTTACTATAATAATTATTTTTGGTGGTACTTTACTATGGCTTGAACTCAGGGTTTGGTACCTCTTAGGCAGGAACTCTACCACTTCAGCCATGCTCCAGCCCTGTTTTGTTTTTTTTAGTGTGTATAATTTTATAAAAATAACTTACCATGATTTCTTTCTTAGTCTTTTTTTTAATGGTTCAAATAATACTGTGTATTCAAATTTGTGTTGTATTTTTAAAGCCTATATTAAGATCATTTTGAAATAGTTCTTGGTATTCTGTTAATACCATGGAATCTAACTATTCTCTTTACTGGAACTTTAATAAGAAATAATTTAATTTTTTTTTCCATATTTGAAATTCTAAATTGAAATTTGTGTATATGAAATTTGAGATGTGAAACATCTTTTTTTTTTTTTTTTTTGGGTCTGGTCATGGGGCCTGAACTCTGGGCCTGGGCGCTGTCCCTCAGCTCTTCAGCTCAAGGCTAGTGCTCTACCACTTGAGCCACAGTGTCACTTCCGGCTTTTTTCTTTTTGCTTATGTGGTGCTGAGGAATCGAACCCAGGGTCTCAGGCATGCAAGGCACGCGCTCTACCACTGAGCCATCTTCCCAGCCCCGAAACATCCTTTTATACTCCTTAACCTTTTAGATTATTTCCAGAAGAGTCCCAGAAGTGGAATGACAAGGTTTGACCATTTTGAGGCTCTTGATCTTTATTAGCACATTGCTTTCTAGAAAGATTGCACAATTTCATATTAGTCAGAAATACTGTCTGGTTGCTTCCTTGCCATCATTGAGTATTCATAAGGTAGGGGGGAGGGGAGGACTTGCTAGTCCAGAAACTTGAACTGAAGATCTGAGTGCTGTCCCTGAGCGTTTGTACTTAAGACTAGCACTCTACTACTTGAGCCACAGCTCCACTTCTACCTTTTTTGAGTGGTTAATCAGAGATTAAAGAAGGGAGGAGATTTTCAGATCATACATTATTTCTTTTTTACATTTTTCATGTTACCATCTATATTCAACTTTGAACTCTCAGACCTCATTCACAGAGAAGTTAGACCATAAACTTCGTTAAATATAGGTAATCCTAGAGTACTGATGATAATCTGGGAAATAGTTAAGTATGATGACCTAGGAAGGAGGGTAACCTGGCTATACTAGGTTTACAAGATTTGAAAATGACTATGTAGAAATATAATTGCAGGCTACAAGTGTGCCATAAACGGTAGAGCACCAGCCAAGTGAGAAAGCCAAGCAAGTGTGAGGCCCCAAGTTCAAGCCAGCCCTGATAGTTCCCCAGGAAAGTGTAGTTTGTATACACACTTTACAGAATTATACACTTATATAATCATAATACACAAGCGTATACACACACACACATAAAGCTTTTTATTGCTGATCCAAACTACAGTAATTCTTAATTTAAAAACTTTTTTTTACCAGTTTATCTTAAATCATGATTGATGATAGAGTGTTAATTTGAAAAGCTAAATATTCTTTAGAGAAATTTAAATTTCCTTTTAAGGATTAAGAAAAACATTTCAGATCCTGAATTTGTTTTGGGAAGGTGACCATTAATGCTAATTTATACCTTTAGTTTCTCATTTTATGGGGTAAGTCTTTTGCCTTACATGATATTGTGAGTAGATTGAGTTTTACTGAATCCAAGTATAAACAGGCACTTTAATGTAAGGATAGCTCCAGGTAACAAGTACTGTAATTGTTTATTTCACTGTTCACTGACACTTTTCCAACGTAGATACTTCCCTTGTTTATTATCTCACCACTGTACAGAACTCTCATCTTATCCTTTTTTTTTTTTTTTTTTACAGCTACCATGTATATGACAGCTAGTTTGTAGTTTGTAGTTAGTGATTTAAGGATGTCACTAATTACTGTCTATTGGCTAAGGAAAATATGCCATTTTTAAAACAAATAGAATTTGGCTGGGAAGGTGGCTCAGTGATAGAGTGCTTGCCTTGTATGCATGAGGCTCTGGGTTCGATTCCTCAGCACCACATAAGCAGAAAAAGCCGGAAGTGGTGCTGTGGCTCAAGTGGTAGAGTGCTAGTCTTGAGCTGAAGAGCTGAGGGACAGCCTCTAGGCCCAGAGTTCAGGCCCCACGACCGACCAAAAAAAATCATGCATCTGCTTACCAAAAACTTTCATTAGGAAAGAAAAAGACACATGAAGAGGTTCTTTTTTTTTTTTTCTTTTGGTCCATTGTGGCTTGAACTCAGCATCTAGGGTGCTGTCCCTGAGCTTTTTTGCTTAAGGCTTTTACCTCTTTGAGCCACAGACTACTTCCAGTCCTCAGATCTCAGCCTCTTGAGTAGCTGGGATTATAGGCATGTGCCACCAGCATCTGGTTTTATCTCTGAAAGATTGTTCCACTCATGAGTAGTAATGTTTATGCAGCAAAAAAAAAGGATAAATCAAATCATTTAATATTGCTGTTTATTAAATGTTGGAAAGTGATCAAAGGAATCATCTGGAACATTTATAAATTATTGACATATTTAATTTCCTTGTTTCATTCTTTATGATGAATTGTAAAACTGAAAACAGTTTGTGCTTTTTTGTTTTCAGATGTTGAAAAGTAACTGAAGTATGAAGAGGACCTAGTATCAAGCAGCCATTCAATGACTGTAGCCTCTTCCCCTGTGGGATTGTAGAATTATAATTTTTTTTAAAAAATGTATAAATTATACCTGGCCTGTACAGCTGTTTCCTACCCACTCTTCCTGTAAACTCTGCTGCTTCCCAACACAACTAGAGTGCAATTTTGGCATCTTAGGAGGGGGAAAAAAATGACAGTTTACAACTGTGGCCCTATTTATTACACAGTTTGTCTTTTGTGTCTTAAATTTAGTCTTTACTGTGCCAAGCTTACGTTACCTTATAGGGCTATGCTTTTTGTATTTGCTTTTTATTTTTAATCTCAGTTTAAATTAGCCACTACTAGCTTAAACTAGCTGCTACTGCTTCTTGTTTTTCTTTTCCTATTAAAATGTCTTCCTATTTTCTTTCTTTTTTTTTCTTTTTTTTCTTTTTCTTAGGGAAAATGAAACATTTAGATAAATGTCTTAAATTTTACCACTTGCAACACTACATGCCCACAAAATATATCAGGTCAGTACTGTATTTTAAAATCCCTTGGAATGAAATCAGGGTTGGAATTCCTTGTATTGTCTCTGAAATTTGCTTCTGAAAACTGCTGTTTGAGCACTGAAACCTTAACATTGCCTTAACTGGGCATTTAGACTGAGCACAGCAACTCCATTGTTATCTCAGGAGATGCATGTTGCTGAGTTATTTGGAATGGAATATTTTACATATCAAAAGCAAATCTCAATTTAAAAGAGTTTGGAAAAGGAATTGTATCTCTCTTCCTAATTCTGTACTTAGCTTGGTGGAATGAAAATACCCTGCTTCATTCTGGTAAGACTGCTAGCTACTGTAAGACTTGGACAGATTAATAATTTGTCATCTTAATATAGTGAATGAATTAAGATATTATAGAATTAAACATAATTTTATATTGTTAGGTAACTACCAGCTGATCTAAATTTTATGGCCTATGAAAATTGAGGAAAAATGTGAAGAAACTGGTCAGATATACCATAAAGTTCAAAATAACACAGGTAATTTTGATCTGAAATCTCTGAGGTGTTTTTAGCCTGCTACACTAAGTCATACACTATAATTTAATCCTTGGTTAGTCTAGAAATAGTGAGTTGTTTGCAAGTCACTGATAATCGTCAAATAAACTCTATTGTTGGCCATAGTGTATAATTTTGTAATCAGTACAAAATGTGTACCAGTTTTTGCCACTTTGCTTTCAGATGTTTAAACTAAGTCAACCATTTGTTTTAGGGAACTATAAAAGTAATAGGGAAAGAGATTTTAATAATTGCTTTATTAGTGCTGGAGTAACTGCAACCATGTTAGCAGGAATTTACAGAAAATGGGTTTTTAAAATGTCAGTAGAAAAACTTGGGAAGTTCTGTGTTAGGATCTGGCTGGCAGAATTAACTTTTTGAAAAAGTTTTATACACAGATATTTGTATTATTAAATTTGGAGACATAGTCAGAAGACGCAGATCATAATTGGCTTATTTTTCTATTTCCTTAACTGTAATTTTCACTTTTATAATAATTTTGATTTGAAAGATAAATTTATTTATTTTTTTAACAGTGAAAGTTACTTGCTGTTGTAGTCTGAAGCCTTTCAAATGATTATGTTGCTCTTATGATTGATCAAAACAAACACTCCAAAAATTAAGGTGAAACTAGGTATAGGTGCAGCAAGGTATAGGTAATACAGTTAACAGAAAGTGCTACAGCCTCATTATGACAATATTCATAAAGGAAACAGGTTTTTTTTTTCTCTTGTCTGAATATGGTAGTTTCATTCTTTTCAGATGTATCATGGGTATTGGTGCTGTGTTACAGACAATGAATTGTAACTAGCATGTGGTTCAGAATACACAATGTTAGTGTTTTTTTTTAATATGTTAATGGTTCTTTTTATCATTTCAAACTTTCATGATGTATACCAAGAATCTCATAAATTTGTTTTTAGTGGGTTTGCTTTGGTAGGTCATTAAACATTTAATCTTATGAATAGAAACTTGTGGTCATCTAGAATATTGACACTGTTTCCATTTGCAGTGTCTTTTTAATTTCTTAAATTTTGGACTGGATATATTAGCAATTCTCTGAATGGTATTGGTAAATGGTTCAGAAGAGAAACTCAGTGAAATAAAAGTAGTATTTATTCATGATGATCAATTAAATTATTTACTTAATTTAAGGAAACTAACTACTGTGCATAACTCAATTTGTGTGTAACTCAAATCTGACATGAGGTGAAAGGAGAGAGCCTGAGTCTACCTGTGGAACATGTTGGGTTTATTTTCAGTGCTTGAAGACACATTCAAAGGTATTGGTTGGGGAAGACGCCATAATTTTAAGTTAACCTGCATGCTATAAATGTGTTTTGTGTTTAAATAAAGAGAAAATTTTTTGAAATGTAATTACTTTCTTGAAACTTACTTGAAGTACTAGGTTGATTTTACATGGCTGAATGGCCTGACCTCACAGAATAAATAACCAAGCTCCAAGTATCAATCAAGTTCAACAGTTATCAACTCATAGCTAATCTTTTTCATCCATAAGCTTAACCCCTACTCCATCCATACTAATTTAAAGCAATCTAGACATGCTTTTTTCATAAATATTTTCATGTGTTTCTAAAAGATAAAAACTCATTAAAACATACAACAAATGTTGGGCATGGTGGTTCACTAATGTAATTGCAATCATTGAGGCTGAGGAAGGATGATCAAGGATTTTAAGACCAGCCTGGGCTACATAGAAAGATCCTGTCTTAAAAATCAGACAGTCCTTGGTGCTGGTGGCTCACACCTGTAATCCTAGCTACTCGGGAGGCTGAGATCTGAGGATTGAGGTTCAAAAGCCAGCCCCAGCAGAAAACCAGAAGTGGCGCTGTGGCTCAAGTGGTAGAGCGCTTTGCCTTAAGCTGAAAAATTAAGGGACAGCACCCAGGCCCAGAGTTGAAGTCCCCCAACCGACAAAAAAATGAGAAACAACAAAACCTAACAAATTTTTGTTCTTGTAAGTAATTTGCATCATAGTCCAGTTAAATTGTTTGCTGCAGACAGCCCCATTCCTTTTCTGTTTTTTTTCTTTGTAATTGATTCATGAAGAAAACAGGGAACATTACAAAGTATTCCCAGATTCGGACAATTGGGCCTCTTTGATACCATTTAACATAGTTCTCTGTATGTTTTGTAAATTCGTTTCAGATCTATCTGAGATCCAGCTATTGGTTTTGTTTGAAGAGGGCAGTAAATAGGAACTCTGGCTACTGGACCAGCCATGGCTTTTCATGGCTCACACTGACACCTAGGCTGATTCTCTTAACTTGGTTATTGGTAATCCCATGCCCCAGTAAACATTTGTGTGCAAGTTATCTATTGTGATGATTTCCATTCCTTTGCCCAAGAGTTGAATATTGGAGGATCTTAATGGTAGTTCAACTTTTAGTAGTTGGACTAGTTTCCATTCCCACCAATAGCAAAAAGGCTTTCTCTCACATCCTTACCAGTATTTATCATCTATTTTTTTTAATGATGATCATCTGACAGGTGAGATGGAATCTCAATGCCATTTTGATTTGTACTTCATGGCTAAGGATATTGAATTTTCTTTATTGGCCATTTGTAGTACTTATTTTGAGAACAGTTTATTCATTTGCCTGTTCAGTGGAGTTTTGTTCTTACAGTGTTTAAAACTTCAAGTTCTTTGTATGTTCTGGGTAGTCATCCTTTTTTCCAATGAATAGTTGGCAAGGATTTTCTCTCATTCTGTAGGTTGTCTCTTGATTCCTGTCATTGTTTCCTTTGCTGTGCTTTTTCATTTGATGCAATCCCACTTGTCAATTTTTGCTCTATTTCCTCAGTAAATGGAGTCCTATTCGGAAGCTTAAAAGCATTTCCTTTGGATTCCTTATAAATTTCCATCTTTGCTTACATTACAGCACACATCTGTAAATTTATTGGTAAGAAAATTTGGAGGAGTTTTATTGAGTAAATAAGCAAACAGGCAAACAGACAAGCAGAAAGAGACTCACTCTAATAATTAGAGTGTGGTGCTCTTGAAGGGCAAGAGACCCTCACTGGTATTTTAATTCCTGGTCTGGTAATTCTAGAATTTTCCAATTTTCCGGTAAATATTCTGTATCTGTTCTAGTAAAGTTATATTACTTTGATCTTTTGTTAAAAGCTGGACTTAGACAAAGAGATCTGGGTCCCATTTCTAACAGTGAGTGAGCCCAAGGCCTTTCCAAAGCATCTGTTCTTCGGCTACAGTAAGCATTTTGCATATTCACCCGTTTAATTTGGGAGGCAAAAATCTGCTCTATGGCCTCACTTCTCTGAGGAATCTAATCTTACCTGTTGGACTGGAAGCTGAAAGTCAATTCATTATGTGATGGCCCACATAGTCACACTTGTGAGGCTAGAGGTGAGAGGGAGTTGCTGATGCAGTCATGGTGGATGACAGGATCAAGTGACCTGCTCTTGAGGCGTGCATATTCCTCTAGTTCTGCTCCAGCTCAGTCCTGGATATGCCATTGTCCTGATGACATTGTGGGTTTGACAAAACCACTCTTGATGGCAGTTCCAAGTGGGTGGGCACTTTGTGTTCTATGCTCAGTGCTCCATCTCTTCTAGGCCTGACATACCTGTTGTGGATCCAAGGCATGATTATAATTCACTGCATTATCTCATGACCTTGCTCCAGGCTTTGAGGGGCTTGCAATGATTTTGCCATGGGCAATTGTCATCTTTATTTGAGGTAGTGGAAGTGGAATGTATTTCCCACCCTTAACAGCTCAAACTTCACATCTGGGTTTTTTGGTGATGGCCCCCAATGTGACAGCTACTTGGACATCAGCCTGTATTTGCCACACGGCCTTCTCCTAGACTGGATCGCTCAAAATCAGCATTTTATATTCCTTAGCAAGTGCCTGAACCCAGAGGCCTACCGGGCATTGGGCTTGGTGGCAAGAACAAGAAGATATAATCATTTGTGCCTTGTTTTGAAGAGGAAATCTTGGCATTCTTTAGTACTAGATTCCTACAAATTCCATAAAGCAGCCTCCCAGATTTCTCCAAGGTTATCTCTCACACGCAAGATACCTGTATCACACAAGGCTTCAGTGTGAGAACCTCTTCTGGCTCATCCTCCTTTCTGTGGGATTGATCAGATCTCATCAGCAATATTACAGGAGCCAGGAGAGTTAATACAGCCCTTGAACAAAGTTAATGTGTTTGCTACATGTGATTGGGACCTCTTCTAGTCCTTGTTTTCTGCTTGTTCTCATGGAAGTGAGAAGCACTGCCAGAAGCTTGGTTGGTCACTATACAGTCGACAGTTCGTAAATAAGCCAGTTCTAGGTACATACAAAGACAGACCCCATATGGATCCACAGAACATGTGCAGTCTTAGCATGAGTACAAATACATTACCTATAGCCCACACTCTGCCCTCAGTGTTCCGTCATGATAATGATCTAGGTATCAGTATAAACTTAGACCCGGTGTCCAGCAGTCCTCCATGTTATCTTAGCTGCTCCAGTAGAGCTCAGTGGTAACACACTTACTTTGCACATGCAAGGCCCTGGGTTCAATCTGGTCTTTAAGACTTGTATATGTGTGTGTATGCACATATTATAGTTATACATGTATATGTATATTTGGATATTTCCCTTCAGTGTCCAGTTAACCAGAGTAAGTGACCATCATTTTTTTTTTTTTTTTTTTTTTGCAGCAAGACTAGTAGAATTCTGTCTGACTTAGGAACTGTGTGTCAGTGTCTTTCCTGGAGATCCAGACTCTTCTTTTTGGGGGGAGGAAGGATCAGAAACGTCAGTGAGACTCTTTATTTCTAGTTAACCAACAAAAAGCTGGAAGTAAAGCTGTAGCTCAACTGGCTTTGAGTGAAAAAGCTAAGAGACAGCATCCAGACTCTGAGTTCAAGCCTCAATACTGGCAAAATAAATAAAATACCTAGGAAATTGATTGTTTCACTGACTTAATTAAGACCCATTTGTTTGAAATGAAAAAGGTAGTGTAAGCTGGGCACTGGTGGCTCATGCCTATAATCCTAACTATTCTGAGGATTGCAGTTCAAAGCCAGCCTGCACAGGAAAGTCTGTGAGACTCTTCCTTCCAATAAGCTCAGAAAAAGCCAGAAGTGATGCTGTGGCTCAAGCACTAACCTTGCACAAAGAGGCTCAGGGATAGCACCCAGGCCCTAAGTTCAAGCCCCAGGACCAGCAAAGAAAAGAAAAAAGGTAATGTAACAAAATCTAACCCCTCCCAACTTAAATACATTCTTTTCTCTCAGAATTAAAGTTAGGCACATAGCTTTTCTATACAATAGCTGCAATTGTGCACAGGCCTCCTGCACAGGGTTCTGAAAATGAACTTTTGTTTGATGCAGATGTAGGCGAATTAAAATGAACAAAGGCCCACATTTTCAGCCTGAGAACATTCAACTGAAAATGACAAAAGGATTTTTCTTCTGTCAGACTGAAGACAAAATGCAAACGTTTTGTGGCCATAGGTTACAGCAGCACTGGAATCTGTTGGCTCTCATTTTGAAAGGGCCTAATACTGGCAGATGTTTCCTGACTCGTCCTGGCAAGGGTTCTAGGATATAAACAGGAAGAAATTGAATCCTCTTTCTGGCCTCCTGTGACCCAGTATCTGTGAAAGTATGGTAGTAGCTAGTTCATTCAGGTGCCTGACCACTGTGTAGCCCACAGAGCTCTATCTGATGAATTTGGGAAGCCTCCAACAAAATTCCTACAGAAGAGGAGGCCTTAGCCCCCTTTCAGCAGGGCTGGTGACAAGATGAATGGTTATTAAGAAACGCTGGGGCTGGACGCTCGTGGCTCACACCTGTAATCCTAGCTACTCAGGAGACTGAGATCTGAGGATTGTGGTTCAAAGCCAGCTTAGGCAGGAAAGTCTGTGAGACTTATCTCCAATTAACCACCAGAAAACTGGAAGTGGCACTGTGGCTCAAATGATAGAACGCTAGCCTTGAGCTGATGAGCTCAGGGACAGTACCCAACCCAGAATTCAAG